TAGCTCTTTGATCTGTAGATGGGCTGACTCCACACACAACATCCCAGGGGTGGAGCATCCTTTGGGCCAGACCAACCTCAGGGTGATTCCTCAACTAAGGCGCCCTTGGATCTTCAGGAACTGGTCACAATTGTCCCAGGGGCTGATGAAGAATGAGGAGTGTCCTGCTAGGAGATGGGTGAGCAAGCCTGCAGCCATGACAGCTCCATCAGGACCAGGTGGTGGAGAAGATGGGGAACCGGTGATGCGGCTGGCTCCAGTTACTAGGGCACGGGGACTTCATGACAGGCCCAAGGGAGGTGACCTCTTTAGGGTGGTGTGCAAAGGGGGGAGAAAGCAGGATGTGGCCTTCACCAGCCGGCCCCGTAGCCACACCTTAGACTCCGAGTCACACAGGGCCTTCTCATTCCTGGGGAGGGTCCGAGGTCCAGAGAGTTTCCAGCCAGGGGCAGGTGATTTATGTGAGCTGTGTCCCTCTCCCCAGGGCCACCCCAGACCAGGCACCTGGTGGGTGGCATCACCTGCCGGGGGGCTTACATCTTGCAAGGGACCCCAGATAGGGTGTATGCCCTCAAGGCAGACCCCACTCCATGAATGACTATGTGTCTCGTAGGGTTTATAAGGGGCACTGAAGGTGGGCTGCCCTTGGGCAGGAGACATGTCCAGACCCAGGTAAGACGTGGGCCCTGACTGCAGCTTGCAGTTAATTCCAGCTGTCTGGGAACCTCCACCTGCTGTCAGTTCCCTGGTTACCCTGCTACTGGGACTCCAGATTCTGTGACATGACCCTTCCCCTCAACACCCACACTGGGATCCACCCGTCCCTCTGCCACCGCCTCTCCCTAGCACTCTATTCACCCATTCATTCACAGAACATCTTATTTTGGCTGCACTGGGTGTTGGTTGTGGCACGCAGGCTTCTCCTGTTTCAGCATATGTGGGCTCCAACAAGCATAGCCTTGTGGCCCCAAAGCATGTGGAATCTTCCCCAACCAGGGGTCGAGCCCATGTCCCCTGCATTGGAAGGCGGATCATTAACCACTGGACCACTCCACACATTTATTAAGTACCTACTGTGTGCCATGTACTGTATCAGATATATTACAGGGGAAAAAATGTATCTGTCAAACTGTAGAGTTAAAAGAAAGAACTCTGAATCCAGGGAGTTCAAGCCCTGGCTCTGCTACTTTCCAGCTGTGTGACCATGAACAAGTATTACAACCTCTCTGAGCCCCGATTGCCTCAACTGTAAAATAGGCCTAAGAATAGTATCTCCCCATGGAGTTGGGGTGAAGATTCAATGCCTTAATACAACGCTCGAAGAGCACTTGGCTCATGGTAAGTGTGCCGAGTGTTTGTGGTTATTAGTCTCATGGTAGATGCATAAAATGAACTGTAAACAAATAAAATAATTGCCAGTTATGGCTGGTGTTCTGCAGGGAATAAATTGTGTGCTGTGGGTGGAGGGAGAGATGGGGTGGTCAGGAGGGTCTCTCTGAAGAAGTGATTTCTCTGGGGTACCAACAGAGGAGGAAACAGTCTTGGCAAGAGCGAGGAAAGTGCTTTCCAGGCAGAGAGACCAGTAAGTGAGAAGCCTGAGGTGGCAACGGCTTGGCAGGTGTTGGGAACGGCAGAAGGCGGAGAGGCAGGAGATCGGAGGGTGAGGAGAGCGCGGCAGGGCCTTGTAAACCACAGAAAGGAGCTTGGCTTTTATTCCAGTGCAGTGGGCAGCCACACGAGGTTTTCGGGTGTTTCTGTAAGTCGTACTGGAGTGTATCACACACGTAGAAAAGTACACCGATCAGGGGCTTCTCTGGTGGTCCAGTGTCGAAGACTCCGTGCTCCCAATTTGGGGGGTTTGGGTTCAATCCCTGGTCAGGGAACTAGGTCCCACATGCTGCAACTAAAGACACCTCATGCCCCAGAGAAGATCCTGTGGGCTGCAACTAAGACCTGGCAAAGCCAGATAAATAAATATTTTTAAAAAGAAAGAAATGCATACAAATCAGAAGTGTGCAGTGCCACAAATTTTCACACACACACACACACACACACACACACACACACAACAGAGCCAGGAGTGGGGAATGGGGGTGTGGAACCAGCTCTGAGATCAAAACCAGAACACGAGCAGCACCCTGGAATCCCCCTTCCAGGCACCACCCCCCCTGGGGTAACCTCCATGCTGACTTTTAACAGCAGAGGGTAGTTCTGCCTGCTTTTTTGTGCTGTGAATGGAACTTACACCATGTGATCTCCTGTGACTGTTTTCTTTTGCTCAACATTACAAGTAACATTCAGCCACCTGTTGCAGATGGTGGTAGCTCTCTTTGCTGCGCAGTGTCCCACCATGACTGTCCCACTACACACTCAGATACTCTCCTGTGGGTAGGCACCTGTAACCCCTGGCTTTGGTTCACATACTTATGTTTTTTTCTGGTCACTGAAGGTTTTTTTAACATGAAATTGACAAGATCTCCTTTCAACTTCACTCCAGACTCCAGTTCCCACATCAGCCCGCCGCACTGACACCAGAAGCAGACCAACTTCAATCTCATCTTTTTTTATTTTTTAAATTTTTGGCTGTGCTGGGTCTTCACTAGTGCATGCATACTTTTGGCGAGTCGAGGCTACTCTCTAGTTGTGGTGGGCGGGCTTCTCATTGCCGTGGCTTCTCTTGTTGTAGAGCAGGGGCTCTAGGGCGCTCGAACTTCAGTAGTTGTGGCACTTGGGCTCAGTTGCCTGGAAGCAAGTGGGATCTTCCTGGACCAGGGATTGAGCTGGTGTCCCTTGCATTGCAGGTGGATTCTTAACCACTGGACCACCAGGGAAGCCCCTTCATCTTTTTTAAACATTTTATTTTTATTGAAGTTTAGTTGATTTACGATGTTGTGCTCATTTCTGCTATACTGCAAAGTAACTCAGATGTACACATATATACATCCTTTTTTTTAATATTCTTTGCCACCGTGGTTTATCCCGGAGATTGCATATAGTTCCTCATGCTATACAGTAGGATCTTGTTGTTTCTCCACTATAAATGTAACAATTTGCATCTCCTAAGCCCAAATTCCCAGTCCATCCTTCTCCCTCCCCACTCCCTCTTTGCAAACCACAAGCCTGTTCTCTATGTCTGTGAGTGTGTTCCTGTTTCTTAGATAGGTTCATTTGTGCCATACTTCAGATTCCACAGATAAGTCATATCATAGGGTATTTGTCTTTCTCTTTCTGACTTATTTCATTCAGTATGATAATCTCTAGTTGCATCCATATTGCTGCAAATACCATTATTTCATTCTATTTTAAGGCTGAATAGTATTCCATTGTGTATATGTACCATAGCTTTTTTATCCATTTGTCTGTCAATGGACTTTTAGGTGTTCCCCTGTCTTGGCTATTTTGAATAATGTTGCTATAAATGTAGGGGGGCCTGCATCTTTTTGAATTATAGTTTTTGAAATATAGTTCAGGGATATGCTGAAATATAGTTCAGGTATATGCTCAGGAGTGAGACTGCTGGGTCATATGGTAGTTCTATTTTTAGTTTTCTGAGGAACCTCAATACTGCTTTTCATAGTGGCTGTACCAACAGTGTAGGAGGGTGCCCTTTTCTCTATACCTTCTCCAGCATCTGTTATTTGTAGACTTTTTAATGATGGTCATTCTGACTGGTGTGAGGTATTGGTAGTACCTCACTATAGTTTTGACTTGCATTTCTCTAATGATTAGTGATGTTGAGCATCTTTTCATGCATCTACTGGCCATCTGTATGTTTTCTTTGGAGAAATGTCTATTAATGTCTTCTGCCCATTTTTCAATTGGGTTATTTGGATTTTTTGTTGTCGACCGACCTCACCTTTTTGCTGCTCCAACAGAAGCCGGTATCAGAGTATACCATTTTATGTACTGATGGTGTGTTTAATTCAATGCTCCCACCTGAACCGGGAACCCTTTAGTGCCTCAGTGTCCTCATGTGGAAAATGGGTCGGTCTTCCTGAACTGCAGGTGGCTGGTTATGAAGATTAAGTTAAATGAGAAATGTCAGTAAGAGCCTATAGCCCTTCCTCCTTCCAAGGAGCATAATTAATGCCTTTTGTCTCCTTTTTCTTCAGAATCCATAAAATGAACTGAAAAAGGGGTGCCCCCTGTGAGTGAGAGTGAAACTGCCTGCCTGGCTCCCTGGGGTCCTCCTGCCTTCTAGATCAAGGGTGCCCCCTCCCTGTCCCAAGACCAGCACAGACCCAGCTCCTAGACCCCACAGGTTGCTCTCAGTCTCTCCGTCCCAGAGGGTAGCTGATCCAGAAACCACTGCTGCCTTAGCACTCTGGCTCGCCACCTGAGAACCTCGCCCCCTCCCCATCCCATCCCACCCCAAGTCCTACAGATCCCCTGAGAAGCCCCACCAGGGACTCACCCAGCCTGCTCTCAGGGTTACTGAGCCTACAGCACGTGGCACCTTCCAGCGCACATCCTATCCCTTTCCAATGCGTGTGCGCCTCCCTGCCAGACTGCGCCGGCAGGGAGGGACCTGTCCCCCTGTTCCCGGAAGATGGAAGATCGCCCACACCTGGCCCTGTGCCTAGCATCCAGCGGGGGCGTCCTAAATATCTCCCGAATGATCCATTCATTCCTTTGGAAAGAAAGCACAGACCCCTTAGTAGTTAAGAGTGCGGACTTTGAAGTCACATCCACTTAGGTTCAAGTCTTAGCTGACACTTGGCTCTGTGACCTTGGGAAGGTCATCTCACCTCTCTGAGGCTGTTTCTTTCTGCTAAAAAAGGAAGGGAAAAAAAAAGAGAGAGAGAGAGAGAGATTGGAATGACCACGACCCCATTAGGTCATTGTGAGGAGTGAGATGACGTTTTTTACCCTCAGAGAAGGGGCCACCTGCCGCTTCCTGTTTTCTGATTGGTACTTAGGTGGTGCACAGTATCAAGTCCGATTTACAGAAGAAGAAACTGAGGCCCTAGAAAGGGCACCGGATAACAGGGTGCGGCCGCTCGGGCTAGAACCGGGGCCTGCGGACTCTGAGCAGTGCTCTTGGAGCTCATGGTCAGCACATCCCCAGCCCCCACTCCGACTAATCCTGGGCCTGGAGTGCGGGGCTGATCTCGGCCTCGGACGACCCCTGGGATCCGGGGCGCGCTTGGGGATCTTCGGCTCAGACCCCGGAAGCGCCGCGCAGCTCCCGGGAGCGGAGAGAGCGCTCGGGGTTGTCACTTTAAATTAAAGACAGAGCGGGCGGGCGAGCGCCAGGGAGCGCGCGACGGGCTCCTGGGAGCGTGCCCGGACTGCGGCGCAGCTCCCGACTGCCGCCCCGGCCCGGCCGAGCCCCCGGCCCGCGCCGTGCTCCTCCCAGGCGGGCGCGGGGCGACACTGCAGGGGTGGCTCCGCCGGCGACCGCCGGGCTTGGCGCCGGTGCGTGCGCGCTGCGGGAGGCCGGCGAGAGCTGGGAGCCGGGAGCCAGGAGCCCGAGCCTGAACCCGAACCGGAGCGGCGGCCCCTCCGCGGAGCCGGGGTGAGTACGCGCCCCGAGCGCGGATGAACGCAGTGTCCCCTCGCAGCGCCGGGGACCCCCGGGCTCCTCGCGCCCCGCTCATCTGCACACCCGCGCGGATCGCACACCCGCGCCGCGCTTGCACACACACACGCCCGGCACAGCGCACGCCGGACGCCCTTCCCCGGCCGGGCCACTCCGCGCACTGCGCATCGCCTCGCGCCCCGCACAACTGCCCCGCGTGTGCACACACGCGGCTATCTCGGCCATTTACACGCCTCCCTGGCGCCCGCGCTGCACGCACACCCCTCACGCGCACAGCGCCCTGCCTGCCCCCGCTGCCCCGGCCCCGCCTCGCACCTCCTTCCCAGCTCCAGTGTCGGCCTCCCAACGCTTTGGTCCCCAAATATCCTGGGGGTCCCCGCGGCATGGGTGCTGGGTTTTCAGGAAATGCCTCATGTCGCACCCCATTGCCAGGAGGCCCTGGGGGACCAAGGGGATCCTCGGCCTCTGTCTGCTGTCACCAGCCTGGGTGGGGAGCTATCCAGGGTCTCTCTGCCAACCTTTGATGCCATTGCATTTTGGGAGAGGAAGCCTGCCAGTCTCAAGGCCCTGGGGCTGTAGATTTGGGCTGAAGGTGGGGGGAACTGCGGCCAAACAGGGGGACCTGGACCCAGGCCTGTGGGTGGAGGATCCCTGAGCCAGCCCTCCTAGTGACCCCTCTTCCATGGGCTGCAGAGGAACTGGGTGCCCCCCCCAGCCACTGAGGCCACCCTCCCCACAAAGCACCTGGCAAGTCTGCACCCTGGACTGTCAACCTCTTCGGGAGTGGGTGACAGGTTGGGCGGCAGGAGCAGCAGCTATGCCTCCTACTAGAAATAGGGAAACTGAGGCTCAGAGAGGGCATGAGACTCACCCAAAAGAACACAGCCAGTCTGGAGAAGGGTCAAGACCCAAGCCCCTGGCCTCTCCACCCTGAAATCTGAAGTCTTCCCCAAGCAACTTGGGAGAGTGGGGTCTCCCAGCCTGGGGTTCCAGCTTGGACCCGGCTTCTCATCAGCGCTGGTGACTACGGGCAAGTAGTGTCCTGCCCTGCAGTTTTCTTACCAGTGCAGTGGGCAGAGGAGCAGCCCTCTCAGAGGGCAGCAGGGAGGGTGTGCTGAAATAACACCTGGCGAGCCCTTGGTACAGAACTCAGCACACAGTATGTGCCCAGGAAATGCCAGCTCCCACCACCCTCTCTGGTTTGTACTGTGGTTCTGTGGGCTTTAGGGAGGGGACGGTGGCAGGATATGGTTATTCCAGAAAGTGAGAGGGAGCCCTTGAAAAGGATCTCAAACCTGAAGCTCCTAAAGAGGCTCCCAGTCTGCGATTCAGGGCTCCCCTGTCCCCACCCCCTGATCCTTCCCATTGCCTGCTGGCCTCCAGGCTTGCTATCTCAGGGGCACCGAGCAAGGACATGGGGTGAGGGGGAGCCCCACCCCTGCCAGAGTCACCAAATTCCTGGAAAGCCATGTCTTGATAAGCCTAGGAGGGGTCCTCGACCCGTGGTCAGATTCCAGTAAGTCTCGTGGCAGGTCTTCCCACCCATCTCCACCCCCGAAAGGCCCGCTTAGGAGGTGGCGTGGTGGCCAGGAGCCCAGGCCCAGATCCATCGCACCTTGGAGTCAGTCCCAGTGTTGCTACTCATAGGCTGAGTGACTCCAGCCCTGGCTTCCTCATCTGTCAAAGGGAGATCCGTTCACCCATTCAGTGGTCAGGTTTATACCACATGCATACGACGAGCCAAGCACCACGGGAGGCAGTTAGCATGGACTATGTCTGATTCTTACAGCAAAAGGTAGGTGTTGCTGGGTAGGTATGATTAAGCCTGCATTTGAACCTAGAGGGGTTTTCAGTGAGCAAACTCCCTGCAGTTTAGGGTTTGGAGGGTTGGGGCCAGAATGAATGGATGGAGTGAGGAAGAGTGTCAGGACAAGGTTCAGATGAGGGTTTGGGACGACTCTGACCCACCCGCGCTGCGCCCCGTTTCCTGCATGTCGGGACTCAGGGCAGCTCTGGTCGCGGGCTGCCGTGGCCTCGGATCTGCCGTGTCAGCATCGTGTTCCAAGCTGGAGCCGCAGCCCCTCTGCCTGGCAAGCCTCCAGGCTGCCAGCAGGAGACTGCCGAGGTTATGGTAGTGAGTGCGATGCGGTCAGGGGGTCTCAGGAGTGGTAAGTGAAGCCATCAGGAAGGGCGCTGGCTGCAGAGCCAGCTCTGGCTCGGTCTCAGCTCTCTGCTTACGGGCTGGTGACCTTGGGCAGATTCACTGACCTTCTCTGAGCCTCACTTTCGTCCTCTGTGGAGTGGGGATGATGACAGGCTCTGCTCCCTAGGGGTCTTGAGCAAGGCCACGGGGAGGGCGTCTTTGAAGTCCACACAGGGCTGTGGCTACTAATAGACAAGGCGCTGGACAGGATGGCAGGCACCGCTCCACCACTCCTGGCTGTGCAGCTTTGGGCAAGTCACTTAACCTTTCTGAACCTTTTCTAACTCATCCAAAAGCCTGCTTACCACGCTCATGAACCAAGATGCTTCCAGGGGCCAGCAGGTTCTGGAAGTGAATGCAAGGGTAGAAGATGCCAGGTCCAAAGAGCAGATGCCCCATCTGAAGAGCGCAGCCTACTCAGCTCCAGCTCTGGCTCTGGGGTGGGGGAGGCTGAGACCCATTATTCCTAAATCTAACTATTAAAGGGAAGCTGAAAATCTATTTTTTTTTTAAACAATCCCATTTTTCAATGGGAAATCTCCCCAGTTTTTGAATGCTGGCAACTCACTTTGAGACAAACATACCACATCTGCAGGCTGCTAGTGCTGCCCACACGATTCCACTGCTCGAAGTAGGGGGCTTGGGGGCCTTTTGGACCCTGGTGGCCCAGCTGGTAAAGAATCTGCCTGCAGTGCAGGAGACCCTGGTTCAATCCCTGGGTTGGGAAGATCCCCTGGAGAAGGGAAAGGCTACCCAGCCCAGTATTCTTACCTGGAGAACGCCATGGACAGAGGAGCCTGGTGGGCGATAGTCCATGGGGTTGCAAAGTCGGACACAACTGAGCAACTAACACTTTCATTTTCACTGGACCATTTACAGGCTAATAATCACAGCAGCTAAGATTTGCCAAACCCCACCTCACTTCCTTCTCCTTCCTCCCTCCTGACACCCTGATCAGGCAGTCATAAACCCCATTTTACAGATGGGACAACTGAGGCTCAGAGCTAGTGAGGGGGAAAATCTGGGGTTCAAAGCTTGCTCAGGCTGCCCTCCTCCCAAGAACCTCAACCTCTCCGTTTCCTCTCCTCCCTCCTCTCAGGCAGAGGTGTTTTGGCCTCTGCCCCTTCACAGGGGTTCTCTATGGGACCTTCTGGCCTGGCTGAGCCTAGTCAATGGTGCCTTCAATGAATGCACAGCTCCCGGGGTGTTGTGATTAGGGGAGGGGAAAGGGTGGGCCATGTGGGAGCCTTGGAAAGATGGGGGCTCCTTGACAGCCAGATGCCCAATATGGCAGATACAAGGTTCTGTCCCCAACTGTAGGAATTTGCCACTAGGATGTCCTCAGCCCACTCTAGTATGCTGCTGCCATGGGCTGTCCCAGTGCAGGAAGTCAGCTTGGGCCAGGTAAGTGGGAAATAAAGCCGATAATATGATCAGATTCCCAGCAAGACAGAGGCAGGCCAGGACATGAGTGTTCATATTAACATGTGTGTTTCAACATATCCAGAACCCCTTCCCAGGAATTAGGGCCACCTTGGGTGTGTACACAGTGCCTGATTTGGCCCGCGGGTTCTCAGACAACTTTTGAAGCCATATGCCCTCCCGCAGTAAGGCACAGGGGTTAGGGAGCAGGTGTGGAACAGAATGGCCTGCACTGAACAGTTTCCTAGCTGTGTTGCCTGGGCAAGTGACTTCACTGCCCTGCCTCAAGGCTCTCTTCTGCAAACCAGAGATAATCATAGTCCTTACCTCAAGGGATTGTTAGAGGATTAAATGAGGTAATGTATATGCAAAGTGCTTACAGCTTGAGTATAAGAAGTACTTGGCAAGGTCCTTATCACCATCTCCAGCCCAGGTTCCAGGAATGAGCTTCCACTTGAACTGGCATGAGTGAAGCCCTTCCTGGTTAGTACGGCCCTCCCATCACCATGACAACTCACATCTCACCGTGGGAGTAGGGGCATCGTCAGGGAACTGGGAGGGAGCAAGGAGCTGTCTGTGGACCTGGGCAGGCTTCGCCCCAGGGCCCTGTCCTCCCCGACTTCTCAAGGCCTGCTGCCCTGGGACCCATGGCACTTCCACATGTGCTGGAATGCCCTGTCTGGATCGGGCACCCCGCTTCTTGACTTCAAAGCTACAAATTGGGGAGAACCCCAGGATTCCAGAAAATGCTCACTCCCTGATTGGACCCCAGTCCCAAAGGGAGCCCACAGCCTCCTCTGAGGAGTTGTAAATGGGTCACCACCCAGGAGCTTTTACTTTCTACTGAATGGTGTTTAGATTTTTTGTGAATTGTTTGCAACATTTAAAAATCAAGAAACTGCATGTTAAAAAAATACCGGTATCTGGCTTTTCAGATCTAGCCAGGCTAGACTGGCATTCCTGTGGGAACAGAAAAGCAGCTGCCCTTGGGTAGACAGACACTCTGAAGTCTGACCACCCACCTCATCCGCATCCCCCGAACCACGGGCACCCCAACTTACCTGCTGGTAACCACCTCTCGGAACCCCAAAGGAACGCAGAGGGTGGCAACCATCCTGTCCTCCGTGTCCCTTGAGCTGAGATCCTTACAGCTCACCCCAGCCTTCCTTTACCAAACCCCCACCCCATTTAGAGCATGTCTGCGAGCCAGTTTACTTGTTAGCAAACACAGTAATAAAACCATGAGCAGTCGCCTGGCTTCAGGTAATGGGTTGTATGAGCTTCTAGAGCTTTCTAGAACAACTTAGTCGAACCTTCAGTGATTCATAAAACTTGGGAGTGGAGGATGGGGAGGAAACCATCCCAAGCAGAGAAAGGACTGACAACAGAATATTGCAGAAATGTAGTATTTCCGGTTCAATGTAAACAAAAACATTTGAACTCAGTCCTAGGGAACACCTGAGGGGGCTGCTCTAATGAGTAGCCAAGTCGCTGATGGTCAGTCTGTTGTTGGTAGGATGGGAATGAAATAGGGTTGCCAGATTTAGCAAATATAAATACAGGATGCCAGTAATATCTGAGTTTCAGATAAACAGTGAATTTTTTTTAGTATAAGCATGTCCCATGCAATATTTAGACATACTTTTACCAACAATGAATCAGAAATTCACGTGTCCCTGGGCATCTTGCATTTTTTTCCATCTGGCAACCCTGAAATGGAGAAGAGGGTGGCAGAAGATGAGATGGTTGGATAGCGTCACCGATTCAATGGACATGAACTTGGGCAAACTCCAGGAGATAGTGAGGGACAGGAAAGCCTGGTGTGCTGCAGTCCATGGCATCACAGAGTCGGACACAACTTTAGCAACTGAACAAGAAGAACTCTGAAATGAGGTTTCAGAGTGCTTGAAAAGTGCTTTAAACACTACTTTTTTTTTTTTTAAGGGACATTTTTATGCTATTTTTTAGAGACATCTTTGGCAGCCCAGTGGCTAGGACTCCACATTTTCATTGCAGAGGGCCCTGGTACCATCCCTGGTCTGGAAACTAAGATCTGGAAAGCCACAGGGAGTGACCAAAACTAAATAAAATGCTATTTTTAAAATCTGCTACTTTTAAATGATACAAATGAATTTACTTACAAAAGAGAAACAGACTCACAGACTTTGAGAATGAGCTTATGGTTGCCAGGGGATGGATGGATCAGGGGAAGGGATAGTTAGGGAGTTTGGGATGGGCAGGTACACACTGCTGTATTTTAAATGGATAACAAACAAGGTCTTACTGTAGAGCACATGGAACTCTGCTCAGTTTTGTGGCAGCCTGGATAGAACAGAGGTTTGGGGGAGAATGGATCCATGTCTATGTATTGCTGAGTCCCCTCATTGTTCACCTGAATCTATCACAATGTGGTTTGCTCATCAGCTATACCCCAATACAAAATAAAAAGTTTAAAATAAATAAAAGTCCACTACATTTGCCCAGGTCCCCTCCACCTGAGTGTGAGCGCTGGATGCTGGGCATGTGGGGCGTGGCGGGGGGCCGGTGACCCTCTGAAGCCCCCTCCACTGACTCTCTTCTCCCTTCCAGTCTCACCCCCGGCGGCAGCCGTCATGGCTGTGGACGTGGCAGAATACCACCTGAGCGGTGAGTCCCCGCGGCCAGTGAGCCATCTCACAGGACCCTCCCGCCAGGCCCGGGGTAGGAGTGTCAGTGGGACCCCAGTAATAGCCCCGTTCTACTGATAAGGACAGTCAGAGAGTTGCCCAAGGTCACAGCCCTGGTGGCTCAGATGGTAAAGAATCTGCCCACCATGTGGGAGACCTGGGTTCAATCCCTGGGTCAGGAAGATGCCCTGGAGAAGAGAAAGGGCCACCCACTCCAGTATTCTTGCCTGGAGAACTCCATGGTCGGGGGAGCCTAACAGGTTGCAGTCTATGGGGTTTCAAAGAGTTGGACATGACAGAGCACCATCACTTTCACACCAGATCGGGACCCGTCTGAGGTCCCTTCTTCTGTCTCTTCCAGTCGCTTGCCTTCCTGTGGAAGGACTTGAGGGGATCCCCCAGGAGGGCCCTGTCCCTCTGCTCCCTAAGCTTGAGCCTGTCGTGTGGAATCCACTGCCCCAGGGGTGTTCCTGGAGCCAAATGCAAGGAAAACCAGGAAGGCTGATATTAGATGCACAGGATATTGAACCCAGTGGTCATCCAGTCTAGCCATGGCAGCTCCCTTGGGACCAGCCTCAAGACACCAGACACACTCAGGATGATGGCGGATGGTGTCACAACTGAAATGCACTCGTCATATTTTCTCCTTCTGTTCCCCTCCCCATTTACAGATGGGAGCAGGGAGGCTCAGGAAAGGGACCGTGACTAAGTAACAGACCCAGGACATGGACCCAGGTCTCCCAGGCCGCAGCTCCCCATTCCTCCAACTCCTTCCCCAGCTCAGCCCCCAGCCAGCCCAGGGCAGAGCGGAAGGGCAGACCACCTTTCCCAACTCCCAGCCAGGAATTTTCACTTTCCACCTGCAGGCTCACAGGCCTTGGCCCAGGCCCTGGCGTGGCCTTCAGTGAGTGATGAAACCTCTCTGAGCCTCCACTTACTCATCTGTAAACTGGGGGTGATGCTGCCAGCCTCTGTGAGCTAACATGTGTGAAGTGCCCAAGTGTGCAAACACAGCTCTCCCCCGACCTCCGGGCCTTTGCACACGCTGTGCCCTTCACTTGGAGCGCTCGCTGCCTCTGCCTGGCTAAGTCCTCAAGACCCGTGTGAGGTTACGAGCATAGAGCTGGAGCCACGTTGTCTGGCAGCTAATCGCTCGTCTATCACTCAGCTTCCCTTTCTGTAAAATAGGGATAATAATAGAACCATCCTCTCAGAGTTGTTCTGAGGACTCACTGGGTTAATATACAGGAAGTGTTTGGAACAGAGCCTGGCAAAGCGAGGGAACAATTATTCCTAAGCCTGCTTCTCTTCATTCCTGGTCTCAGCTCAGACCTCACTTCCCCGGGGGAATTCTTCCCATACGGTCCCGAGGCTGGTACACAATAAAATGAGTAAATACATGCGCATTAACTGTCGTTGTTTCATGTCAGCTTCCTGGGGATTTGTCTGTCCTGCCCCCGTTTTGTGCCACCCGGGCTGCTGGCTTCAGGCCCTCATCCCCCGGGACCCTCACTCTCAGGAGAGCCTGGTGATGCTTAGCCCCCTTGCCTTGTCCACTGCCTGTGTGGCCTATGTCCACCTCCTCCCAGCACCCAGGCCCCAGTGAGCCTGCTGGGCTGGTTGTGCGTCTGGGTGGGGGACCCTCCCCCCCCCACTTCAGTCTCCATTCACCAGGTCCGGCCCCTTCCCATCCCCCATTGACTGGACTTCTGAGAGTCTGGCCAGCTCTGGGCCCTCCGTAGCTCCTTGTTGTGATTTTATTTATCCCACAAATTACATTCTTGCAACAGAAGTCAGGAGCACACAGGTTCGCTCGCTATCTCTCTATCCGCATTTCTTCTGCCTCTTCTTGCCTCTCTGTGGTCTGCCCAGCCCTTGCCTACACGCTGTGTGATTTTTACATCAAAATCATGTGGTTATACTGTGTCGGGGATTGATTTTTTTTTTCCTTCTCTTAACAATGCCTCAGACGGTTCTCTGCATTGCCACAGCGACGTCCCGATGACCTCAATTGTCATTCTCAAAGCCCAGTGACCGTCCGTCATGAGACAGCGCCACTGGCCCCCACTGGCCCCCTCGGTCAGACCTTGGGGCTGTTTTCAGATTTCTGCCATTATAAATACAGACTCGCTGACTCACCGCAGACAGGAGTTGTTACTTGTTGAGATTTTTCCCTTAGAATAACCAGGCCCCCCGCCCACCCTGCGTGGGACCACTGGATGGTGGATGATTTGGGTGTCATGCCCTCTTTCTGGATGAGGAGACAGAAGCCAGGGAGGCGACGTGGCCTCTGGGAGCAGAAGCATCTACACCAGACTCTCCATTTCCCACCCCGGTGGCCTTGAGCCCAGAAATATAAATAGATGTGTTCCTTAGCTTCCGTTGCCTCAGTTCCCCTCTGGAGACTTCCCAGGTGGTTCAGGTGGTAAAGAGTCTGCCCGCAGTGCAGGGGACCTAGGTTCAGTCCCTGGGTCGGGAAGATCCCCAAAGTGAAGGAAAGGACCCCATAGGGTGTGGAGAGCTGGGTAAATGACTCCGCCCCAAACGCCCCCTTCCCTTACTGTTAACCGGGTGCTCTGAACTCTCTGAGCTTTGCGTACCGGCCTCCTCCCAGACCAGGGATCGAACCCCGGCCCCCTGCATTGGAAGCAGGGATGTTTAGCCACTGGAGAACCAAGGAAGTCCCTTGGCCACACATTCCTTGATGCTCCTGCATGCCCCAGCTTGGGCGTCCCTCTTTGCAAAACCCTCCTGGGATGTTCTCATCACGACGCCCATCACTGTCCCGTAATGATTTGCCCCGGGGACTGTGACCCACTTAAGGGACTGAGCCTGGGGCTCCAGGGAGTCCTCACACGTAGTCAGTGCTCAACAGCTGTGTGATGGGAAACCTCCACTCCTGAAACACCCTCCTTGCCTCTCTCCTCCCTGCTGCTGGGCACCTGTGCAGGCAGAGGCCGGGTGGGGCAGTGGTTACCCCTGCTTGCTCTGGAGTCTGGTGGCCAGAATTGGAATCCCAGCATCACCCCTTCCTGGTTCTGTGACCTTGGGCAAGTTCTTGTGTGCCTGGGTGTCCCCAGTTGAACCCAGTGTAGAGGCAACACTGAGAACGCTTTAGAGAACTGTATTTGCCAACAGTTCAGTCTTTTGCAAAATGAACCTTACTATCTCGTTGACTTCTCTGGGGAATTGAAGAACCAGGTTTCCCAGTAGAGTGACTTAACGTTTATGGTTCTGCCATGGGCCAAGCACTGTGCTCGGTGAGGACCTACCCAGCACAGCTGAGGGGATGGTTAATTACCATTTGGGGACAGTGAGGCTCAGATAAGGAAAGTTATTGACTCACCAGTGCACAAAAAGCATCTGAGCATCTCGATTTGTCCCCAAGCCCTGCACAGCCTACAGCCACCTCTCACTTCTGGTTGGAGTGTTTTTATTTGTATGTTGTTTGTTTTTCAGTAATAATTTTATGGATATAAAACTCACATGCCATACATTCATTCAGTTAAAAGGTACAGTTCAGTGGGCTGTAGTTAGTCTATTGTGCAAGCATGAGCACAATCAATTTTTAGAATATATTTATCACCCCGAAAAGAATTCCCATACTCCACACCCCCCACCGCTCCCCGCACCAGCCCCTGATACTAATTTACTTTCTGTCTGTAGAGATTCCCTATTTTGGACATTTCATAGAAATAGAACCATACAACATACAGTCTTTGGGACTAGCTCCCTTCACTCAGCATGATGTTTTCAAGGTTCATCCATGTTGGAGCATGTATCAGTACTTCATCCCTTTTTATTGATGAATAATATTCCACTGTAAGAAGGTACTACATTTTATTTTTCCATTCATCGACTAATGGGCATTGGGTTCTTCTTGATGAAGGTTGAGGCATAAAGGGGGATCATTTCTTCCCCCCCCCCCGCCAAGCCCCCTTCCGCTTCCCCCCAGATCCCAAAAGTCTGCTTTGATTATCAGAAGCAAAAGTCCTCTGAAAGCTGAGAGAACTCGAAGAGGCATGAACAACCCAATTCATGTAAAGCCTAAGGAATATTTAACTATTGTTCTCAGCTCTTCATATACTCTAACCAAGTGTTGCTCCTGCTAGAAATGTGTTTTTGTGGGAAGCGGTCGAAAGCAGAAATCAGAGAGTGTATATCTCATTCCGCACTGGACCCCCAGCACCCAGCACGACACCTGGCATAACAGACACTCAATAAATATTTATTCAGGGACTTCCCTGGTGGTTAAGACTTCACCTGCAAGGGTTCAGGTTCAATCCCAGATTGGGGAGTAAAGATCCCACGTGCCTCAAAGCCAAAAAACCAAACCATAAGACAGAAGTAACATCATAACAAATTCAATAAAGACTAGAAAATATATATATTTGTTCAATGAATAAGCAAGTCAGGGCTGAACTGGGGGCTCCCTGGGTGGGGATGTATAATGATTGAGAGGCCCCAAGGCCCATTAATGAGAGACTACTCTGCTCTTGCCTTCAGTCATCAAGAGCCCCCCTGACTGGGAGGTGGGTGTCTACGCTGCTGGGGCCCTGGCACTGCTGGGAATTGCAGCTGTGAGCCTGTGGAAGCTCTGGACGTCGGGGAGCTTCCCCAGCCCCTCCCCGTTCCCAAACTATGACTACAGATACCTTCAGCAGAAGTATGGTGAGACCTATGCAGAGGCCAGGCAGAAGGTGAGGTTTCTGTTCCCATGGGTGCACACCCCCCACCCCTGCCTCCACCATCCACTCTCAGGATTGACCCCCAATCCCTCCCCAACTCGCTCCCGGTTAATTTCCTCCTGTGAACAGAGTCCGTTGTCCTCCTCCACATCTCCAACAGAACCCAGCTAGGTAATCAATGAATACTTGGTGAATTAATGAATGCTTTGCATTTAAAACACCATCCTGGGAATTCCCTTGCGGGCCAGGGGTTAGGACTTTGTACTTTCACTCCCGGGACATGGGTAAACTGGGTAATTTGGGATTCCACAAGTGATGCCAAATTTTAAAAGCAAAGCAAAAAAAAAAACAAGCCCAAACAAACAAACCCTCCCCACCATCTTGTGAAAAATACAGGAAAATAAAAACAAGGAAAACTTCCCCCAAAGCCACAACCCAGAGGTAAGCTACTGTGAGTTATTTTCCAATATTTTAAATCTAGCCCCCGCCCCAATCTTTTTTCCATGCATAGTTTTTATACAATGGATGTCATTTCTCCACAGAATTTAACACCCTACTCTTTTCATCTCACTTAAAGTTGAAGCACTTTCTCATATTGTTGATCATAAACATCATGTTAATGATTGCATAAGATTCTTTTTTATGTATGTGCCATGATTTACTAAATGCCACCATAAATAATACAGTAAGTGGTTTATATGTAAAACTTTGTCTTCGCATGGGATTATGTACTTTGAAAGGATGCCCAGATGTGAAATTACTGTATCAGGGAGTGTAAACATTTTTAGGGCTCTCTACATATTGCTAAACATTTCATCACTTGACACTTTGCAGAGGATCTTGCTAACATCATGAAGAGTTCCAGAAAGCACAGCCAGAACCTGTTACCAGACAAGGGCCCCTCGTGCCCCACTCATTTGAGGTTTTGGAAGGAATGATCTCTTACTCTGTTGGGAGGACTGTAAATTGGCACAACTTTTTCAAAGAGCATTTTGGAAACATGTGTCAAAAGCTGTCAAAAGGACCGTGTCCTTTAAGTCGAGATTTTAAGAAAGCTATTCAATGCTTCATGGTTTATGTTTGTGAAAAACAAGATAAATGTCCAACAGTAGGGGAATAGTAACATAAACTATGGCTATCCACTTAACAGCAAATTAACGGGGCCATTAAAAAATACGATAACGAAAACTACCAACAAGGCTTTTGTTTTCTCAAATCCCAAGATCAACTTAGAGAAAAGAAAAATTTTGCCTATTAGAGTTAGTGTTATCCAACACGAAAGCTTTCTCATGTGGTAGACTTTTTGTAAGCTTCCTTTGAGGCTGCTCCATTATCTGAGTATCTGTAGTCTAGTTTTCTTACCCATTCCCCTTCTGCTGGACACTAAGATTGCTAACTATTTTTCCTTTTCCTACACGCCATCTCAGTGAGCATCTTTATTAATGAAATTCAGTTCATATAAATAAACATTTTGAGAAAAGGCTCTCTTGTATCTTGGATAGAGACAGGAAACTAAGTAACATGAAATAATATTAAAGAAGGATGTTCCTGACTAAGGCATGCCCTGTTTTTGCAAAAGGGGAGCTAGGAGGTGTCTTGCGTGAACCGGGCTAACCACATGTCTTCAAGACCAAGCCTATTGCCCTCCGATGCTCCCACGCCCCTTCCTCTCACCCTAGAGAGTACCGGCCTGGAATGCGCAGCGCCCCAGCACTAGAGGGCCCCCCAGTCGCAAAGGCAGCCTCAGCATCGAGGACACCTTTGAAAGCATCAGCGAGCTGGGGCCCCTGGAGCTGATGGGCCGCGAGCTGGACCTGGCCCCCTACGGGACCCTCCGGAAATCCCAATCGGCCGACTCCCTGAACTCCGTCTCCTCCGTGAGCAACAACTTCGGGCAGGACTTCACGCTGGGCCAGGTGGAGGTGAGCATGGACTACGACGCCGCCTCCCACACCCTCCACGTGGCTGTGCTGCAGGGCAAGGACCTCCTGGAGCGGGAGGAAGCCAGCTTCGAGTCCTGCTTCATGCGTGTCAGCCTGCTGCCGGACGAGCAGATCGTGGGCATTTCCCGGGTGAGTGGAGGCTTGGGGGCGGGGCAAAGGGCGGGGACAGGGCGGGGTGTGGGCCCCCCTCACCCCCGGACTCGCAGGAGTCCTGCCCCTGCAGGCAGGGCTGCTGGGCCAGGCAGGATCTGAGGAGGGCGCTAGAGAGTGAGTTTGGATGGTGATCCCAGAGTGGAAGGTGCTGGCTATAGGGAGGACAGACCTGAGAGTTTGGGGCCTCCACCTGGGGGCCCCCACTGTGTGCAGTTCTCGGCAATCCTACCACACGAATTCAGTTTAATTGTCCATTTGCCAATTGTGTCAACTTCAGGTCCTGGCAGGGAAGGGATGACAGGTTCATGTGGCTCATTTGGGGAGAGTTCGGTAACAGAACTGTTATAAAGCTGTGGTGGCATGTAGGGCGACCTCAGGGATGGCGTGGTACCCTGGTCCGAGGGGATGGGGGCAGGGGAAGTTACCCAGAGACCACTGTGTGCCCAGGGCCATCTGGATAAGGACTATGTCCCTTGGTTAAGGGGCATGGTCAACTCGTAGCCATCCTGCTGAGAAGGACCAGGGGAATAAGCACCCTGACCTCCCTCCAGCTTCTATTTTCCCTCCAGTGACCCCTCCTGGCCAACCCCAGGGAGCCTGGTGATGTAGCCCTTGGAGGTCAGCTCTTGGGGCTGAAAGCAGTGGAAGGGAGGGTGCAGAATAAGCTGGAAAGGGCATGAAGAGGGACCCAGCAACCTGCTCCAGGCTTCCGCTCCAGATGGCACCCCTGCCTTGCCAAGAGAGAGCAAGGTCTACACCATACTGCCCGGCACCAGCAAAGGTCAGCCCAGCATGGCCTCTGACCACAGCAGGAGGAGCCTGAGGTCCAGGCCCCAGTGTCCAGCCCTGTTTCCCGTGCTGAAAACGGGCTGCTCCTCAGCAGTGAAGACTATCGTTCCCCTCCTGTCCCACCCTGCCCCCTGACTCCAGGAGGATCTAGAACCAATGTAGGGCTAAGAAGGGGAGGCCAGCTTCAGAGAGGCAGTGCAGGGTATGCTTAGGAACAGCACCCTGGAGCCTGACTGCCTGGGTTCAAATCCTGCTTCTCTACTTCCTTGAAGTGTGACCTGGAGTGAGTCACTTAAACACTCCATGACTCAGTTTCCCCATCTGTCAGATGAGCATCATCATGCTTGAGGAAGGAATGCATTAATATCTGCAAAGTCCTGGGACTTCCCTGGTGGTCCATCGGCTTAGACTGTGCTCCCAAAGCAGGGGGCCTGGGTTTGACAGCAAGGACTGGATCCCACATGCTGCAACTAAGACCCAGCGCAGCCAAATACATATAGTTCTCAGCCATGTCCGACTCTTTGCGACCCCATGGACTGCACCCCGCCAGGCTCCTCTGTCCAGGGGATTCTCCAGGCAAGAATACTGGAATGGGTTGCCATGCCTTCCTCCAGGGGATCTTCCCAACCCAGGGATCAAGCCCAGGTCTCCTGCATTGCAGGCAGATTCTTTGCCAGCTGAGCTATCAGGGAAACCCAATATACATATATATGCTGCATGCTAAGTCTCTTCAGTCGTGTCTGACTCTTTGCGACCCTATGGATGGTAGCCTGCCAGGCTCCTCTGTCCATGGGATTTTCCAAGCAAGAATACTGGAGTGGGTTTCCACTTCCTTCTCCACTATGTGTGTATATATATATATATAAAGTGCTTAGCCCAGTCCTTGGTCAGCTCTCCATGGATTGTCTGTCAGAACCGTGAAGCGTTCTCTGGCCCAGAGCCACGCTGCCTGCAGCCCCAGCTGCCTGGAGGACCCTGGGTGGTTCTGGGTCCTTCCCTTGAGGGGACAGGCTGACAGCTGCCGCCACAGCCTGATGTCTGCTGAGAACCTGGTTCACAGCTCTCGGCCCATCTGCATCCCTCTCATTAGCCCCAGGGATGGGGGATGGATTGAGGACATCTTACAGATGAGGAAACAGGCTCATGGAAGTCCTTTGCCCATGAGAACCCCAGCAAGTGAGCTGGAGATCCAGAACTCGACCCCAGAGTTCTCCATCTACATGCTCATAGAGTGCATGGATGATCAGGGAGCCTGCACTCCTGTGGGCAGGGGACAGTCAAGAGGCTGGTTTGGCCAGAGGAAGGAATTTAGGGCCGAAGAAGACCTGAATGCCAGGGTCAGGATCAGGAGGTGGGCTTTGTCCAATGGGGGAGGAGCCCTTGATGCTTGAGCAGGTGACCGGGTTGGGTGTGCAGCTCCCAGGTCGGTGTAACAGCCCATCCTCAGCCCAGAGCGTGACTGGAGAGTGTGACTCAGGACACTTGGAGGTGCTGACAGGTTTATTCCCAGAAATGCAGGCGCCTTAGCACCCCAGCTCAGCCAATCCCAGTGAATAGGGGGGCAGCTCCCCGGCTTCAGGCAAGGTACCAGGGATGACAGCTCCTCTCTTAAAATATCGCCAGGCAGTGACTAAGGCAGCCCCCCATGGAGGGGGGAGCAGGGCCCGCGCGTGCACCTGCCCAGGGGACAGCCCACAGCTTCCTGGGAGGAGGCCAGTAGCGCCCACCAGGCAGGACTAGGCTTAGGAACAGAGTCTTCCCAGTCCTGCCTCATCATTCCATCCATCCATCTGCCCCATGACATTCAGAGCATCCTGGGCCAGGCCCCACGGGGGCTGGACATCTAAGGCTCTCAGCTTCACAGGCAGTTATCCCTCCTCACGATATGCCTGGCCCCAGGGCTGGACTTGAACATGTGCCAGAAAGATGGCCATCTCAGCTGGCACATGGCAAGGGTTCTGTGGAGCCATGGGCACTGAGGGTGGGAATTAGTTGGGGTCAGTTTGTTAAGCTTTGAATGCCAGCCCACTAGATGGCCACCTCTGAGAGGAGGACAGGGGGCTTTTATATCATCAGGGCTGAGCCACCAAAGAAAGGATTGACATTGAGGTATGGGGTCAACAGAGCCCGATGGTAGCCCAGGCCTCCGGGCTCCCCCGTCCAGTGCTCTCTCCCTACCATGGCCTCGTCGGCATCTTCTGCTGCTTCCTCCCCAGCGTCAGACCTCCTTCCACCGCCCTTTCTCTCTGCAGATCCAGAGGAACGCCTACTCCATCTTCTTTGATGAGAAGTTCTCCATCCCGCTGGACCCCGCAGCCCTGGAGGAGAAGAGCCTGCGGTTTTCGGTGTTTGGTATCGATGAAGATGAGCGGAATGTGAGCACAGGGGTGGTGGAGCTGAAGCTCTCTGTCCTTGACCTCCCGCTACAGCCCTTCAGTGGCTGGCTCTACCTGCAGGACCAGAACAAGGTCAGTCTGCCCACCTGCACACGCCAGGATGGCGTCACGGTGTATACTTTAGATGAGGGAATCCACTGTCCTCAAAACAGCCTGAATGCCAACATCTTTAGATTAGTTCAGTTGGTAAAGAATCCGCCTGCAACGCAGGAGACCCCAGTTTGATTCCTGGGTCAGGAAGATCCGCTGGAGAAGGGACAGGCTCCCCACTCCAGTATTCTTGGGCTTCCCTTGTGGCTCAGCTGGTAAAGAATCCGCCTGCAATGCGGGAGACCTGGATTCAGTCCCTGGGTCGGGAAGATCCCCTGGAGAAAGGAAAGGCTACCCACTCCAGTATTCTGGCCTAGAGAATTCCATGGACTGTATAGTCCATGGGGTCGCAAAGAGTCAGACACGACTGAGAGACTTTCACTTTTAGATTAGAGAAAGAGAGCCCCATTCAGAGAAACTCAGGTTACTGCGTGCAAATGAATGGCCCTTGACCACTGTTTACACCTCTTCTACTGCTTCTACCACCAAACCTTAAGAAGCTCTATTCCTGTAGAGGTTCTGTTAGGGAAGTAGCTCTCTGGCCCTCGAGTGAGTTATTTCAGATGGAGGCCAAGCTGAAGTTCAGCTTCCTAAGTGTAGCAGTGCTTGGGGAGCATCACTGCTATTTAAGCAAGTGAACATTATGATAGTGTTCATCACTCAGTTTTGGCGACCCTATCGACTGTAGCCTGCCAGGCTCCTCTGTCCATGAAATTCTCCAGACAAGAACGCTGGAGTAGGTTGCCATGCCCTCCTCCAGGGGATCTTCCTGACCCACGGATCGAACCCAGGTCTCCTGCATTGCAGGCAGATTCTTTACCATCTGAGCAATATTTAAGCAAATGATCTGTTAATTCCAGTCCACCAGGACCCTCTAAGTGCTACTACCACGGAATGTTTTCTTCGGTCTGGAATGAGGGAACGTAACTGCGTTTGTTGCGGCATTTGACAGGCAACCTCTGCTCCTCCTTCCAAGGCAGGACCACACCCAGTGGGAGGTGGGGAGGGTACCGTGGAGTAGGGGCGGGGCCCCCCTCTCAATCCCACCAGCTTGGTGCCCTGGGGTAAGGAGCCCCAAGAGCAGCAACTTCTCAATGGAGAAGGAAGGGCGGAAGCCGTCTGAGCCACCCGCTCGTCCTCCAGGCCGCCGACGCCGTGGGCGAGATCCTGCTGTCCCTCAGCTACCTCCCGACGGCCGAGCGCCTTACCGTGGTCGTGGTGAAAGCCAAGAATCTCATCTGGACCAACGACAAGACCACAGCGGGTAAGGCCCTGCTGGCTGCCTGGATCCTCCTCCGTGTGGCAGGTGGGAGCTGTGCCCTAGCTGCTAAGCCCTGGGCACCTGAGGGCATCAGCAGGTGTGGGGCCCAGCGCCAGGCTCCCCGCCCCCGGCCTAGGCTGAGCTCAGGAGCTCTGGACGGTGGGAAGATTAATCTCGCTGGGGAAACATGGGAACCATGGAGGGGGGGCAGGGAGCCCCTGGGGGGAGGGATGCGACTCTGAGAGCTGGAAGCTAGGGCACTGGTATGAAAACAGCGGGCAATCCCAGAGGCTGGACTGCATCCCAAATCCCCAACGGGGACCAGGGCCACCGAGACGGTGTGGGTATCAGGCGGGGCCTGATGTCTCAGGTCTGCGTGAACCTCAACCCCAGGTAACTGAAGACTGAGGGCTGCAGGAGCCTGACTGGGAGCCTGGGGGACCCCGGGTCCCAGCAGGTGTAGCAAGGACACCCAGTGGGCGGTAAGTGACGAGCAGACAGCGACTCGTTATTCCAGAGCCGCACGTCCTTGAGTCAGGCTCCACTGAACGGGCGTCGGGTGACTCAGGGCTGACGTCTGCGTTTGGGCCATTTATAGAGTGAAAAATGATGGATCTGTGGAGCTCCCTCAAGCATCTCGTGAGGGGAGCATGCACATGGGCTGGGAATCAGGGTGCCAGAGTCCAAAGCCCATATCTTCTCTTGATGTGCGTGTGAGCCTCAGTTTTCTCATCTCTAAAATAGGAAAGAAAGGACTGATGACAGAACTTCGGGAGAGAATGGTGATAGAGAAGGTTTGGGGGGACTTCCCTGGTGGTCGAGCGGCTACGATTCTGCATTCCCAATCCAGGCAGTCTAGGTTCGATCCCTGGTCAGGGAACTAGATCCTACATATCTCAACTAAGAGTTCACAGGCCACAAAGAAAATTGAAGATTGTGCCTGCTGCGACTAAGATCTGGTGCAGCCAAAGAGCTTTGTTAAAAAAAATAGTGAATGTTTGGGGAGTTTGGAACCAGTGCGCTGCCGTGACTGGGCAGGTCTGTGCCAAGTGAGTGTGGCACTGGCCCTAACCCCACCCCCCTCCCCACCCACAGACCCCTTCATCAAGGTGTACCTGCTGCAGGATGGGAGGAAGATGAGCAAAAAGAAGACAGCTGTGAAGAGGGACGACCCGAACCCGGTGTTCAATGAAGCCATGATCTTCTCCGTGCCAGCCACTGTGCTCCAGGTGAGGGGGCACGGCGCAGGGGAGGGGCCCTCCATTCCCACCAGCCTCGATCCTCAGGACTCCTGCAGACGGTGATGGTTGGCCCTAAGCCATCACCTTTCTAGTCGAGCAACGTGTACTGAGCAGCCGCTAGGTACCAGCCCTCTGGTGGGTGCTGGGGATACAGGCACTGCTTCCTGGGCGCTCACAGCGGACAGGCAGGGAAGTCCCCAGCCAGTGCCAGCCCACGAGGAACACCCAGACCTTGGCAGTCAGGCTCGGCTCAGCAGGTGGGGCTAGCTAAGCTGAGATCTGGGGGAAGACGGTTCCCAAGGGAGGGAACTGCACAGGCCTAGGGATGAACCGGGGCTGGGCCAAGGCCCGGATGTCAGGCCCCCGGTCTCCTGAGATTCTGCCTACAGAGGCCTGGCTGACCTCCCCAGATGCCCTTGGCCTTCAGAAGACAATGTGCTCCAGGGAGACCTCCTTCCCAGCACAGATATCACAGACCAAGGGTGGGAGGACTGCAGAGGATGTGGCCTGGGCCATGCTGGTAACCTGGCTTGCCTGCCTCAGAGGATGGGGAGCTCATCACCTTCCCTTACTCTTTCCTTCCATCTGTCTTTTTTGTGCCTTAAGCCCAAACCTGCCCCTTGGCCCTGGGGCTCCCCTCCTGGGACACCCTGTCTGAATTTGAAAACCCAGAACTCCACCTCCCTCTGGGTGTTCCGAATCCAGCAGACATCTCAGCGTCCTTGGCTGGGCCTCCCCTGCCACTCTCATGGGGCGGGCCACCCCCTGCCCTCCGCTTCTCCTGGGTGGCCATCCTGCCACTTCTGCTTCACAGCCTCTTAGGGCGGGCTGACTCTTGGGACGAAGTGGGGTGAGGGGGTGCTGAGGGGTGGGGGAGAGGAAGGAGAGAAGTCAGGCTGGGTTCCAGTCTCAGCTTCACTACTTTGATCTCAAGCAACTTCTTTCCTCCATTTCTAAATTAGGAGTCCAACATATTATCTCAGGCACAACATCAGACATCCATAACATTCTGACTGCATGCAGTCACTGTTGTATGCTTTTTAACTCATTTTGTACCTGGAACAGATAGGAACTATGATTACCACCTGTTTTAGAGATGGGGAAACTGAGGTAGAAAGAGCCCAAGTCATTGCCCAAGTTCACCCAGAAAGGAAGCATTGAGGTGGGGCTGTGGGGTCAGACAGGTCACAGGTGAGGATTCAGGGGGGCCGTGCCTGGCATCCTGCTGGGATCTGGGGGCCACGGGGGACCTCTGGCATTGCCCCTGGTCCCCAGCACCCATGTCACTTCCTGCCTAGGACCTGTCTCTCCGTGTGACGGTGGCTGAGAGCAGCAGTGACGGCCGTGGGGACAACGTGGGCCACGTCATCATTGGGCCGTCGGCCAGTGGCATGGGCACCACCCACTGGAACCAGATGCTGGCCACGCTGCGCAGGCCCGTGTCCATGTGGCACCCCGTCCGGCGAAACTAGCAGCCGGGGCAGGGCCGGGGCAGGCACCAGAGCCTGGCACGAGCCGAGCTCTGACACCCTTCTCTGTCGTCCGGCCGGAACCATGAACGCCAGGGTCCCCGGTGGAGCCCCCATGAGCCATCATGATCCCTCTGTGCAAGCTGCGGTGGAGGAACGGGCCTGGCTGGATGTCAGGGGACCCAGGGCTGTCTCCCACTGAGGACCGGCTGTGGCTGGGCCGGGACCCGGGGAGCACAGCCAGGCATCGGCCCCCTGTGCCCCCATTTTCAGATCCCCAGCAGGTCTGTCCCTTGGTCTTGGGGGGCCTTGGCCTCTCAGAGCTCCCCACACCCCACCCCTGCTGGGAAGCCATGCACAGGGACCCTGTGAGTCTTGGGGGCCGAACTTGCTGTGCGAGGCACAGGCTGGGGTGACATGAACAAGGCCAGCCCCTAGGACATCAGGGAGATGAGATCCCCCTGCCCTGGTGATCGTGGTGCAGATGGCGGCCCTGCCTCGAGGACCTGTGGAGGGCTCAGGGGTCCAGGGGGGGATGGGGGGCAACACGGCAGCTGCACTGGGAGGGGCAGGGAGAGAGCTCGGTCCCGGGCCGCAGCCCAGCCCAGGCCAAGCTGGGTAGGATTGTGACCGCGTCACAAACGCAGTCTTCTACTGCTGCCGTGGACACAGGGCCTCTCTCTGGGCAGGAGGAGAGGCCGAGGGACCAGGCCAGGCGGTGGCCCGCAGGCCACCTGGGACAGCACCTCCAGCCTCATCCTCTGTGAAATCTAATCCCTAGAACCGTAACCCTCATAAGGCCCAGGGGTCCAAAGAGGCCCAGCCCCAGCCCAGGCCAGCCCAGGGCCAGGGGACACACAGCTGGCCAGCCCCTGCAGCCTGGGAAACCCTCCTCTCTTTTCAACCCAGATCTGTGTTAGGCCCACACAAATCAGGCCCTGGCTCCACTGTGTTGGTTGGTGTCCCTCCAGGCCAGGCCCTGTGGGGAAGAGAGACGCCTCAGCTGAGGAGGGCTGGGGGGCAATGGGGTGGACAGGATACAGACTGCCGGGGGCCTGGGAGAGGCTCTGTGGGCGCAGGCTCCGGGAGGATGCGGTGGAGTCCCCAGGGCGGGACCTTGGAGAAGGGGTGGCCGGAGAGCTGGTCAGGAGGGGAAGTTGAGGGGGGTCAGGATGGAGTTGGGGGGACAGGTTTGAAGCCCAGGGAAGGAAGGAGGTGGCTCTGGAGGCCAGTTCAAACCATCAGAACACCAGATACCCGAGGCTGAGCTCCAGAAGCAGACCCTGAGATTCTCAGGCGAGGGGTTGACTCGGGGAAAGCCTTCAGGAGGAACATTTAAGGCCAGGACGGAGCTCTGGGGCAAGAGGAGAGGCCGGCAGGTTGTGGCTTCAGGGGAGCCCAGCTTCGGCCCCTTGGGGAGGGGGTGCTCTGATGTGGATGGCACCCCAGGGGGCTCCAACCTGGAAGCCAGGGCGGGGCTGTTACAGGCCCACAGGAGTCTTTGGCTCCCACCTCACCCCAGCTGGAGGGAAGGCATGCCCGGCCTTCCAGGTATCACCGAGGCAAGCTCCAAGCTGCCAGAGGCAGCCCCAGAGAAGCAGGTGGGGGTGCGCCCCTCGTCCTGAGGGGTGGGGGGGCCCCTGGCCACAGGGATGGGGGTGGGGAGGAGACCCGGTAACATGCCCCGCGGGCCCACCCTCTGGTGAGAGGTGGGTTCTCCGGCTGGCTGCCTCTGGAGACCCAGGCTCACCCAGGTACCCCCCAGTGAGGTGGGGGGCCCCGGGGTGGTCACGGGACTGGAGGCCGGGTGGCGGCTGTCCCCACCTGATGTGGCCGTGGCCCAGCCCTGAGGCCAGGTTGTCCAGTGGGTGGAGGTCTGCGTGCCCCAGGCCAGCCCAGGGCCGGGGGACACGCAGCCTGCCAGACCCTCCGCTCTTTTCAGCCCAGTGGCTCTGCCTGGCAGGCCGTGTCGTGTACTCCCCCCTTCTCGTCCCCCTCCGCCCCTCCCCCTAACTGCATGAAATGCCGACTGTGCACCCGGATGGGCGTGGTGGGGACCGAGTATGTCGACTGGAATGATTCTAGAGCAAAAATAAAGCTGGGGCAGGAAGGAGGGGGCTGCCGGGGAGCCCCGCTCGCCCCAAATCACCTTTGTCTCCGGAAATCAGGGCCTCGGGCCTCGGTGAGGGTTGCTGTGAGCACACCTTCCCCTGCTGCTTGGACGCCAGAGGGTCAGGAGGCTCCCCCGGGGGGAGGCCATCCCAAGGACCAGTGCCATCAGGCTGTCAAGGGGGGCTCTGAGAAGGGGCCTGAGCCCGCCTGACTGGGAGAATGGCAGTGAGGAGTCTCAAGGAAGGCCACTCAGGAGTGTCGCTGAGCTGTCTTCAGGGCAAGGGGACAAGTCACTCCAGTCGTGTCCAGCTCTTTGCGACCACATGGACTGTAGCCCCACAAGCTCCTCTGTCCATGGGATTCTCCAGACAAGCATACTGGAGCGGGTTGCCGTTTCCTTCTCCAGAAGATCTTGCCCACCCAGGAACTGAGCCTACATCTCTTATGTCTCCTGCACTGGCAAGAGAGTTCTTTACCACCAGCGCCACCTGGCAAGAGATAAGGCCAAAAAAAGGTGGATAAGACCAAAAGAGCCTTCCTGGTAGGAGAAACAGCATGTGGAAAAGGGCAGGAGTTGAAAAACCTTGGTCAACTTATCAGCTTTGCTAGAGCAAACTCAGGGAGAATGGGGAGAAGGGAACCAGGGGAGAGGCTTGGAGGGGAGATAGGCCATGTGCGTTCAGTGAGAGCTGGTGCCAGGCCTGCAACCCTGCAGACTTAACAGGCAGGTACTGTTGTGGGCCTCTTTTGTTTTTTTTGCAGATGTGGAAACTGAAACTCAGAAAGGTTAGGTAACTAGCCCAAGGTCACACAGCCAGAGCATCTCAGAGATGGGGTTTGAGCTCAAGCTCTCTGGCTCTTGAGCTTATGACTCATCTACTAGACCACACTGCCTCCTTCCCCAGCTTCTCGAAGGCGGGGCTGAGGGGCAGCAGAGATGCCCCTCCGGATCCCAGGCTGCTCTGGTTCTCCCCTCTCCTGTCCTGGAAGATCATAGCAAGCGTGGGAGAAGGAGAATCTGGGCCAGGGGGCAGACGGGGAGCACGGGGGAGGGTTCCCAGGAGGCCTGCCCACCTCAGGGCCCAAGTGAAGAGCTTCTGTAGAATTCCTGCCCCCCCGCTCCCCCACACCCAGTAGACAGTGGTAACCAGTGAAACAGGCTCTGCAGGAGCCCAGAGAGAGAGGAATCGGGGAAGACTTCCTGGAGGAGACAGCAGAGTGGGAAGGACTGAGCACGTGGAGGAGGGAGAGAGCCTCGAGGCAGGGGAACCACCTGCACAGGTGTCTGGGAAGCCAGACAGCTAGCTGGGGCTGGAAAGGCCAGGTGGGGCTGAGCTGGGGAGGCTTCACGTCCAGGGTGAGTCTGAACGCCCTTGACATGCTGGCAGTGAGGTCCTGGGTGGGAGCGGGGCAGGGGGAGGGAGACCGGAGGCGGGTGGCACTCTAAGCGACTTTGGGAGTCATGACGAGGATTGTCAGCGAGCCCTGCTCTACGGCAGTGAGGAGCAGCCCCGCTGCTTTTAGGTTTTAGGGTCATTCAGTGGGGCCCAAACCACGGTCTCCCATCTCTTCCCGCCCCTTCCTCCCCTTCCATCCCACCTTCCCCTGCTCCTCCAGCCCCAGGCCTCAAGGGTCCCAGGCCCCTCTGTCTGGGAGCCCTCCGGAATAGGCCGAGCCCCACCCAAGAGGCCAGGTGTGGGGGTCACCGTCCTGACAGCGGCAGTGGGGGGCCAGGCCTGCACGTGGGAGGGGCGGGAGGAGTCGCAGCAGCAGCCACGGGTGACAGCAGCTCAAACTCTCCCTTCCTCTCTCCCGCCTTGTCGCCTACGCCTGCAGATCCCTGAAGGGACAGACCAAAAAGCCAAATGGACACTCGGGCTGGGCCACAGGCCTGCCTCACTCTCCACCCGCCCCCCACCCCCGCCACCCCACTATCAACCTTCCCGTCCCAGCCAGAGGGGTCAGTAAAAGCAAAGCAGGGACGAGAGGCCTGTGCCTCCAGCCCTGAGCTCCAGTTAAATGGCGACAGGCATTGCGTGGGTCTGGGGAGCCCAGACAGAAGGAAACTTGGGACAAGAAGCCCTTCTGGGCTCCACATGCCACAGACTGAGTCTGCTGCTTGCTTGTTTGTGAGACAAATTCCTTCCTCTCAAGAGCCTCAATTTCCCCATCTGAAGAATGGGCATATTAATCAAGAAGGTCTCTGAAGGCACCCGCACCCCCACGTACCAGTTGTGGGATCTTGAGCAAATTATCTGTCCCCTTTGGGCCTCAGTCTGCTCACTCGTCAAAGGAGGATAGGAATTAAACACACTCCATAGGATAGAAAATCGCTCAGGCGTGTCCAATTCTTTGCGACCCCGTGGGCTATACTATACAGTCCATGGAATTCTCCAGGCCAGAATACTGGAGTGGGTAGCCTTTCCCTTCTCCAGGGGATCTTCCCAACCCAGGGATCGAATCCAGGTCTCCTGCATTGCAGGAGGATTCTTTACCAGCTGAGCCACATAGGAAGCTCTTAGGATAGAATGAAATGCCACATGTCAAGCGTCTGGCACACAGTGGGTGCTCAGGAAACGTGAGGCCAAGGCTTTGTGTGGAGGGGTTCTGGAGCTCTGGAAACTGGTGTTTGGGATGAAAAGGAGTGGAGGTGGGGGACATTGGGAGGTTTGAAGAGCAAAGCATCTGTGTCCCCTGCCAAGACATCCCAAAGGGCTGAACGCAGGACCAGGCCTCTGAAGTTCCACCCCCCTGGTACCCACTCCAGGTGCCTCCATCCCCCTCCATGAACACCCCACAGCGCAAGCCAGGAACACCAAACAGCCCGCAGCCCTGCATATTGACGGTGCAGGGAGCAGAGTGGCCACACGGCGGCAGCAGAGACTTGGCCCCAACAGCAGGGAGTTCCGGCCTCACGGAGGATGGGGGTGGACCGTCAAAAATGGGGCAGATGGGCCAGGGCCATGGGGGGGCCTTGGAGCAGATGGGGGCTGGAGGGTAGTCACCTGTCTGCTGACCCCGCGCTCAGGTCACATTCTGAATTCATTCAGCCAAGCAACTGTTGGTCCTTTCTTTATTTCTTCAGTTTGTTGATTCTTTTGAGTCAGCCCATCTTCCTTTGTTTCTCTCTCCCTCGCTCCTTCACCTGCCTTCCTTTTCCCTGTTGGTCCAGCCAGTCAACTGGACATAACATCCTGAGCCACGAGTAGGTTCCAGTCTGGGGCAGGACTCCCATGTAGGGGACAGAGGTGGGTGGGCCTCGGTCCCTGCCATTGGGGTGCTCAAGGCTCGGCAGGGGGCCGGGAGAGCCTGCCTGGCTATTGCATTTGAAGGAAGGACTTCCGCCTCAGGCCAAGGACCTGGGGTCTGCAGGTCAGTGACCCGCTGAGCAGGGTGCTGGAGGACTCTGGGCCTGGGACTCCTGGGGTCTCAAAGGGCTGAGTCACCCACAAGCTGGTGGTGAACAGCAGCCACTGAAAACCAGAAAACAGCAAACAGTACCCTGGTCGGGCCGACTGTGACCCGGGCCACCTCTTCATTCAAAACAAACCTCAACCAAACAGCACCATCCTGGGCCCGGCAATGTCTGAGATTTGGGGAAATTCCCTGGCAGCAGGGCAGATTCTCTGGCCAGTGACTAAATCTCTGTCTGGCAGAAGCAGGAGCATAGAGTGAGAGTGAGGCTGGGTTTAACATCAGGGGACATGGGTTGAAATCCTGGCTCAGGATTGTGCTAGCCTGACACAAGGCACTGCCTTTCTCTGAGCCTCAGTTCCCAGATCTGTAGAATGGGGGAATCCGATTCCTCACTCTGCCCAGCTCACAGTCTGAGCACTAGAGGAAATAACGCATATGAGGTGTGATGTTGGGAGAGAGAAAGCCCGGCTCTGCAGTCAGAACCGGCTTCCAATTCGAGCTCTGCCTCGTGCTGGCTGTGGACCTTAGACAAGAGCTTAAACCTCTCTGGGCCTCAAGTGCCCCATCTGTAAAATGGGGCTAACACTCCCCACCTGCTAGGGGGCAGAAGAGCCTCCACACGGTTGGCAGTCCATTGATGGGTGTTGTTACTATTAGGAAATGTTCAGTGAAACTCTAAAGCATGACACACATCAAGAGTGTCATTAGAGTGATTATCCCCGTAGCAACCAAGGTCAAACACCTCTGCCTGACTCTCAGCTCCCTCCACCCCTAGTCTTGCCCCACCTGCCTCCCAGCCTTGCCACCCAATGCCTGATGACAGCAGTCATCAGGGGAGCCTAGGGGATGACGAGGCCGACAGCTGGTTGTTGGGGGTGGGGTTCCTCCCCACCACTCCTTGGGGCGGGGAGCCCTGATCAGTAGCTACACACCCAGTCCGGTGCCAAGTCACTGCCCAGCCCTTTGGCAGTTTCGGGGAGGAAGGGGATGTCCTGGGGTGCTCCCTCCATCCAGGTGAGGCTTCATTCGGCCTACTGACCATGGCCCTGGCTGAGCCTGGAACAGGAGTCAGCACCCTGGGCTCTGCCGCTCAGCAGACGGGTGGTGACTCTTGCCCAAGCTGCCTCTTTGGGCCACGGTGAGGTTTAAGGGGGCTGAGAGTGGTTTCTCACCTCTTGGCTTGGAACTGTGTGAGGAATGATGTCATGACCTGTGTGGGGGAAGGTGAAAAACCCCAAGACTCCTGCCCTGTTTCTCTGAGCTTCAGTGAAAACAGTCCATGATCTGGGGAGGTCCTTGTGCTCATTTTAGAAATATATATATTCAATTCTGGCTGCTAACAGGAGAAGGAGGCCTTCACAGATGTCGCTAGTGGTAAAGAATCTACCTGCCGATCCAGAAGACGAGGCAGGTTGGATTCCTGGGTCAGAAAGATCCCCCGGAGGAGGAAAATGGCAACCCACTCCAGTATGGTTGACTGAAAAATTCCATGGACAGAGGAGCCTGGCGGGCCACAGTCCATGGGTTCACAAAGAGTTGGACATGACTGAGTGACTAAGCAGACACAACTGGAATAGGAGGTCAGGTGACAGTGAGTTTCCAGTTCAATTCTGTATTAATTCCTGGTGCCCAAAGTGCTCCACTATCCAGGCCCCATTTAACCCTCAAATTCACCCCCAGGACCAGCTCCCTAATCCAACCTCACCCATCACCATAGGGGAGGACTGCACCCCCTTCCACTGCAAACAACCCCCCACACACACCTCTGCACCTTACACACGTTGTTCCCTCCGTTTGGAACCCCCTTCTCTTCCCCCATCTAATTGTGTTTCACTTTTCCTCCAGACCCTGGCCCCTCTCTCTAACCACCCCCAGCCTGAGTGCAGGGCCCTTCTTCCTGAGTCCCGTCCACTGCCTGTGCCGGCCATCGCTGGAGCTCTCATCACACTGATCCATCCCGCTTGTCTCCCGTTCTAGGCTGTGAGGGACTTTTTTTGTTTTTAATTTATTTATTTGTCTGCATCAGGTCCTAGTTGCAGCATACAGGGTCTTTCGTTGTGGCTCGAGGGGCTTAGTCACCCCACACGTGGGATCTTAAGTTCCCCACTCAGGGACTGAACTCACATCCTTAGCATTGGAAGGCGGATTCTCAGTCACTGAACCACCAGCGAAGTCCCTGTGAGAGACTTGAACTTCTACAGTTCAGAGTCCCCAGGCCCTTGAGCACAGGCGGTCATCAGTGTTGGTTACATAACAAGAGTCACACGTGACATCACCGACCATGTATCAGACCCTGCTCTGAGCACTTTACAGATGGAAGGTTCCATCACTCCCCAGGCCATGCCCCAGGCAGAGGGGAGACCCATTGCTAGTGAGAAGTCTTGGTACTGGCTGGGGGAGGGGAGGTCCAGCTGGTTGCCCGGGTTACCCCCTTCCCACCTGCCCTGGAACACCGGCAGGAGGGCTGTGGGGTGTTTTGTCTCCAGGGAGATGGGGGGGAGGGGATGCATATTCATTCATTCACTCATTCATTCATCCACCAAAAGTCACCAGTTCCTGCTCCGTGCCCCGCAGAGACTAGGCACTAAGGACCCGTCCCTGCCCCCCACCAAGTTGGTGGGCCAGCAGGGCTGACCCCCACCTCCCTGCTCGGCAACAAGTGGGCAGAAGCCTCGTCTGTCCCCGTCCACCTGGTCACTGCCCAACTACGAGCCTTCTCTGCATCAGACCGGGGTGCGCTCCTGAGGGACCTAGGCCAGATCTGGGTCCCCCACTTCCTGCAGCCTGAGGGCCCCACAGAGCAGGGATTCAAGAAGGGTTTGTCTCGGGCCGCCTGGGTCCCGGGCCGCGGGCCCTGGGACGGGAGGGGCAGGGCCGCGGAATGCGCCCGGCCGGCCCCTCACCTGGGCCGCCCGCCGCCCGCACTTCCTCCCGCCGCCCCGCCCCTTCCACATTCCTGCCCCGCCGGCCCCGCGGCCGCCGCTCCGCTCGCCCCGGCCCTGCCTCCCTCCCTCCGTCCCTCCGCGCCCCGCGATGAAGGCGGCCCAGGCCCCGGGCGAGGAGGCGCCGGGCGGCGCGCGGTCGGTCAAGGTGGTCCTCGTGGGCGACGGCGGCTGCGGGAAGACGTCGCTGCTGATGGTCTTCGCGGAGGGGGCCTTCCCCGAGGTGAGTGTGGCCCCCGGCGCCTCCTGCCCCCCCGAGGAGGGAGGGACGGGCACCCGTCCTGCCTCCCGGCAGAGCCTGGGGTCCAAAGCAGTTCTCACCGTGCCCCCGGGAGTGAAGGACTCAGTGGCATCGTCTGTAAAGTGCCAAGAACAGCACCTACCCGGGGGAGGTGTCTGGGAACGAACTTGGGCGGCCTGGGGACGTTGCGGGTCCTAAGAGACCCCTCGGTGGCACCGCTTGGCTAAGAGGATCTGACCACTCTCGGGGGAGCTAGATCGCCTGGCTTCAAATCCTGGCTTTGGGACTTACAGCTGGGCGCCCTCGGGCAGGCCCCTTACTCTCTCTGTGCCTGCAAAATAGGAATAGCAATGGTGCCCAGCTCGCAGGGTCGCAGAAATGAGTGAGTTCACACAGGTCAGGGGCTGAGCTGCAGCGGGAAGGACCCACTGAAAAGTGGCAAACGTTCTTCTTGGGAGACATCGCGTCTGCACCCAGCTCTTGCCCCTACGATGGCTGTCCCGTGGGCTCAGGCTTAGAGGGTCAGAACGCAGCAACCTCGTCACACGGCTGGGTTGGCGTCTTGGTCTCCCCCAGCTGGGGCCCACCGTGCCTTGCTCAGCCTCTGTGAGCCTCCAATCCCTCATGCGACCTCCCTGGGTGGAGACACCCGAGGGTGGTGGTGAGGTAGCATTAAGGCAAAGTTAAGACACGGCCCCGGGTGGTACCTGGCATGTGGATGCCTGGGCACATGGACTGTCTTTCCCTCCCCAGCATGCCCACCGCCCGTCCAGGCGGACTTGCCGGCCCCAGGACAGGGTGAAACCCATCCAGTGTGCACCCCCTCGGCCCAGTTCCCCTGGAGTCCATGGGTCCCCTTGCAGCAGCACTGCCCCCTCCCCTAGATCCCTGCACCCTCGACTCGCGGTGGGGTGGGAGTTGGATGGGGGAGGCTGCTGAGGCCCGGCCTGCTAACGGAGTCAGCCTTTCCACTGTGGCAGCATCAAGCCAACTCTTGCTTTGTGGTTTTGGGAGCTGACGTCATGTCCTTTGGCCAGTCACATTTTTTTTTTTTTAGTTGCGGGGAGGGATGTGTTTCCGGGCCCCCAGATGCTGCCTGTGAGAACCCAAACCCAGCAATTATGGCAGAGTTGCGGGGAGCTCCACAGAGAAGCTGGGTGACCTGAGGCCTGGGAAAGGGGCCTGGGAGAGGGGCCTGGATGGGGGCGGGGGGTGGGAGTACCTCATCGCCACTGTCCTGGGCTCTGAGACATCCTCAAGGGTGAGACCCATCCCAACTGCAGAGGCTGAAGTGTGGAAATAGGCATTCCCAGTTGATGTGAATGAAGTTGTGTTAGGGAAAGGGAGCACATGATTGTCACCAGGGTGCTGCCCTGCCACCGGTCCTCCCGTTTGGGGATCCTCATTCCCGGGGACCTGTCTGCCTCCAGGCGCAAAAGAGACGCTTCATTTAAAGAAGCACAAGGTCTGAGAGCAGAAAAGGCCTTCAGTTTACAGCTGGAAAGACAGCGGCCGGAGAGAAGAGTCTGGCCTCGGGGCACAGGGCCCGCCCATGAGAGCGCTGGCCTAGAACCCAGGTCTTCCTGGCCGTGACCAGGACATCCTCCGCAGCCCCCCAGAGCTTGGCCTGCCAGACCAGCCTCCTCCTGTCCTGGCCCTGGACCCCTCCTCCTGACAGCCCTCCAAGCCCAGGGAGCCAGCAGCTAGGAGACTTGGGGTCCCGTATGCCAGGCCTCCTGCCTGCAGGGAAGAGCAGGCTGGGATCTGGAGGGCCTTAGGGGTCTGGAGGGCCTCAGTGAGCCTTGTCTGGCTGTGGTCCGACTTCAGGTTCAGGGCTGGAGAGTAGAGAGAAAGCTCCCGAGGCTGGGGGACTCCTGCTTGGGCACCGGCCCCTGACACTCAGGGCAACAACCGCAACCACAGGGCCAGAAGCCTCGGGGCCCCACAGCAGGGTCAGGGTGCAACGGGGCCGGGCGTACCAGCTGACCTTCCAGGGCCAGCCGAGTTCTTCCTGGCACCCCGCTGGGGCTCCCATGGGTGTGCTTCCCCTGGGAAACTCCTGGGTCTCCTCTCTCGAGCTGCGTCTCCTCTGCTGTGATGGCCCATCTGTCCATCTGTCCATCTGTGAGCGCTGTGAGGTCAGACCCAAGCCTGAGTCATCTGCCCTGGTCTAGCTGGGCCCAGCCCTGTCTTTCTGCAGGAGGACAGATAAGATTAGGTGCTTATTGGTCCTGCAGGCAGAGAGTAACTCTGCCTGGGGGGTTCAAAGAACAAGACAGAAGGTGTCAATGGAGTCTGCGGGATGACATTCCAGAGTGGAGAACCCAGTTCCACTCCGTGAATGGGGCTTTCCTGCTCAGCTCTGGTGCCAGGTGCTAGAGTAGGTGACCTCAGGAGAGACAGGTGAGGAGGGTCTGACCTGGCCCCATCCTCAGCCATCTGTCTAGTGTGTTACTGTGGGCCAGTCACTTCCCCTCTCTGGGCCTCAGTGTCTTCAACAGGAAAATGGGGTGAGGGGAACTTCCCTGGTGGTCCAGTGGTTAGAACCCTACACTGTCACTGTGGGAGACGCAGGTTCAATCCCTGGCCAGGGAACTAAGATCCCACATGGTGAGTGAGGCCAAAAAAGAGAAAATGGAGATAGTACCGACTTTCCAAGGTTACCAGGATCAGAGATGGTGCCCATAAAGAGCCTCGCACAGCAGATCCCTAGAGAATGTGGGTGACGGTGTTATTTCCACGGACACTTGCAGAGCCCTGAAGTGTGTCTCCCAAGAACTTCGTGGCAGGTTGCCCTGCACCTCAGATCAGGAGGGGTCCTGCCACGGGGGGCAGCCAGGCTGGGAGCTCAACAGATGTCAGCACCTCCTCGGTGACAGGCTGGGGGGTGGGGGTGGGGAAGGGGCACCTCCTGGAGGGGTGGATGCTGCCCCTGGCACCCAGCTTCCGAAGCAGTGGGCGTTTGACCTTGCCTGCTAGCCAGCCTTCACTGTCGCACACAGATACTCGCCTCCTTTAACCAGCGAGGGTGCTGGCCCAAGGTCACACAGTGAGTGCCAGAGCCCGTCCCAAACCAAGCGTATCTCATTCCAAAGCCCGTGTTCCTGGGACTTCCCTGGTGTCCAGTGGTTAAGACTCTGCTCTTCCATTGCAGGAGGTGCAGGTTCGATCCCTGCTTGGGGAACTGGGATCCTACATGCTGTGTGGCACATAGCCACCATGTCACACTGCCCCCCACCAGGCCTGAGGGGAGGGGGCATGGGAAGGAGCGGGCAGCCCGAGTCTGTGAGTAGAGGAAGTGCCAGTGACTAGAGTCCAGGGTGGCCAACCCTAGGGCCATCCTTGACTTCTCCATCCTGCCTGGTTGCCTGCTCTGTGACCCACCTTTCTCCCCACCCTCCCCACCGCTGCTTCCCAAGTGCCCTGGAAGGACATGGCTGACCCTCTTCTAAGGGACTGCCCCTCCCAGTGGCCAGGGCCTGACTCAGAGGGCCAGCGGGCAGGCAGCCTCGAAGTCCTCCTGAGTCACGGGCAGGTGGGGGCCCCACCTGGCATGGGAAGAGGGGAGAATAGGGTCCCCTGGGCTATGGCCCCACTGCCCAGCCCTGAGCAAGGGGGCAAGACGTGGGTACCCAAAAGGCAGGGGGTCCAGTGTGCCGCTTGGTGCAAAGGGCTTGTGGTGTGAAAATCTCCCCCACTGTTGCTCAGCCCCCCTCTGTACAAGCTCCCCCTCTTCGTTCCTGCGCTTCTGTAAAAGCCCCTCCGGCTCCCAGTCATCCGGCCTTTGTGGAGAGGGGGCGAGCTTAGCCTTAGTGGGCCTGGGGTGGAGGGGCCCCTGGCCAGGTGATCTCCCCCTGGGGCCAGGCAGGGCAGGTAAGAGAGATAGAAACAGGAGCAGCCTGGTCGGATTATGAGAGGTTGAGAGGCTAAAGAGGGGAACCCTCCCTTCCCTGACCAAAAGCTAGAAGCTCCCCAGGGTAGGCAATGAGTCTTTATTACTTGCTCCTGATGTCCAGAATCAGACCCGGAGAAGGTGCTCGTGAATGAATGAATGAGTGAGTGAGTAAATGAACAAACGTAGGTTAATGTCATTCTAGGAGGCGGAGACAGCAGGAAGGAAGGCTCAGAAATGGGACAGTCTGGACGAGGACAAAGATAAAAATAGCAGTCCTGGCACCTGTAGAATGTTAGTCTGTACCAGGCCCTGGGCTCGGGGCACCATGTGAGGCTCCGCATTGAATCCTTACAGCAACCTGCTGTGGTGGGTGCTCTGGGAGACCCACTCTACAGTCTCAGAGGGGCCCAGGGAGGTTCGGTGCCTTGGGGGGTGCACAGCTGCAAAGTGGCCTCTCTGGGTCTGAACCCCACCAGCCAGCTCCCTCCCAGAAACCACCCGCTCTGCTGACTGCCAAAGGGGCTATGCCTCGGGCATTCCTGGGCTCTGGCCTGGTTGCCCATACCACAGCCCTTCAGAAGCTGCCCTCTTAACCACCCCTGACTCCTTCTTCCTCAGAGCTACACCCCCACAGTGTTTGAGCGGCTCGCCGTGAATCTGCAGGTGAAGGGCAAACCCATCCACCTCCAAATCTGGGACACAGCAGGTGGGTGCAGGGCTGGGGGAGGGGCAGGGTGGGAGGAGGGGCCCCACCCCCTTCCTTCTGAACCAGGGAGGCCCAGCAGTCTCCAGGGGACGGGTGTGGCATGACCCCTCCTCTCTGTAGCTCCCCTGACCCAGGGCAGCCCACTGGGTCCTGGAGATGAGGTGGAACTCCTGGCTCTTGAGAGGCGGACTGTTTTTGGCCTCCTGAGCGTTCCACCCTGGCTTTAGCTCTTATAAGATTGTTCGACCTTGACTTCTGACCTCCAGCTTCCTGACCTTGCCCACAAGAAGGTTCAAAGTCAACTACATCAGAACTCAAAGCTAGGAGACTTCCCTGGCAGGCCAGCAGTTACAACTCTGTCTTCCACTGCAGGAGGCCTGGGTTCAATCCCTGGTCAGGGAACTAAGATCCCACAGATCAAAAAAAAAAAAAGAATTCAAAGCTAAACTCAGGGAATCCAACAGCCCCCTTACCTTGTTGGGCTGTGACATCTTGGCCCAGGTCCCGTCTGCCTCTTTCTCTTCATCCCCCAGCTCCCCCAAGCCCAGGGCAAAGCAAGTTTCTGATTGGGGGCCTCAGAAACCCCCTACTTCTGCCAGGACAGGGCTCTCAGCAAGTGGTCTCACCCAGGCTGGGGCTGGCACACCCCATAGGCCGGCCAGGGGGACATGGCCCCAGGGGGATCATTTGTGGGCTGGACTCCGAGGAACAGAACTAGGCCCTGGTCTAGTTCACCCACTCAGCCCACGCCCGCCCCCCTGGTCTTGGTTGGGGTGACCTCTCTGATGCTGGGGACGTGCTGACAGTGGGCAGGAGATCTGGAGGGAGTGACCGCCCCCACTCTTCCAGGGCAAGTGGACTATGACCGCCTGCGGCCTCTGTTCTACCCTGATGCCAGCGTCCTGCTGCTCTGCTTTGACGTCACCAGCCCACACAGCTTCGACAACATCTCTAACCGGGTAGGTGGCACCGGGGTGGAGGCAGGGATGGACAGGGAGGCGTAGCCCCGTAGCCAGGCCACTCTGCTCCGCCCCTGCCCTGGACCCAGCCGACTGTCAGAACCTCGCAGGGCCCGGATGATGTGTGGTCCAGTGTGTTTGGCGTAACTGTGGGGAAATGGAGGCCCAGAGCGGCTTACCCAAGGTCCCACAGGGCTCTGGTGGCAGGGTCTGGGCGAGACCTCTGGCTCCCAGTCCAGTACTTCCTGCCTGCCCATACCGCAGGCTCAGAATGCCGAGGCCTTTCTACCATGACCCTGCCTGAGGATGTGGGGCGACCCAGTCGCCCCTGCCTCTCCGCAGTCCGGGCCTGTTAGAGGTCACAGGAACTGTCAGCTTCCCATAGCGTGACCGCTGGCTCCTAGTGGCCACCCAGGACATCCCCTGATCACAGTAGAGGTCCCTAAGGCTGCTCACAGGTGTTGGGGACGTGGCCCCTGGAGTTCCTCTGCTCCGGCCAGCAGCTCCCGCTGCCAGGGCCTCCAGGCGTGTGTGAAGGGCATCTCCAGGGCCCATCAGGACACAACCAGTGACAGCCGTAGTAACTATAACCACAACGTTGATGGCAGCATTTACTGAGGACTTAATACGGGCCAGGTACAGTTCTGAGCACTGACATATTTACTCAGCTAACCTAGAAATGTTATGGAGGAACTTCCCTGGTGGTCTAGTGATTAACACTCTGCACTTCTACTGCAGAGGGTGCAGGTTCGATCCCTAGTCAGGGAACTTAGCTCCCGCATGCCCCACAGTATAACCAAAAAGTAAAAAAAAAAAAAATTTATGGAGCAGATACTATCATCCCCAGATTGGGGCCCTTGCTGTAAGATATACATCTATTAAAGTGGTAACCCTGGGACTTGAACTAGTCTGCTCCATGCAGTCGTTCGGAAGGTACCTCTATGTGCCAAGACTGTTCTAGGCACCAAGGACCAAGCTGGGACCAGGGTACCAGGGGGTGGTGAGAGGTGAGTGGGTACCGAATCTGGAAGGTAGAACCGAACCACCAGGGTTTGCAGATGGATTGGACGTGGGTAGGAGAGAGACATTCGCTCAGAGCACCTGGAAGATTAGACTTGCCGTTTCCCAAGATGAGCAGGAGCAGGCTGAGGGCAGAGAGGTGGGCTGTGGAGGCCCCTTGGACATCCCGGTGGAGGGGCAGGCGGAAGTCTGAGTCTGTGGTTCCTGGGAGGGGGCAGGGCTCAGCAGATCCATTTAGGAGCTGCTGGTGGGGAAGAGCTGTGGACTGGGGGGTGGGGGGCAGAGGGGAGCTGTCACCTGGAGACCTGAGGACAACCAGGAGTGTGGGGCCCTGGGGCACCATGCCAACCAGCTTTCAGAGGATGGAATGATCGCTGATGCCAGGGCTTAGCTAGGACGAAGTGTGATGAGATGCCCTGTTGGACTTAGCAAAGTGGAGTCAGAGAGAAGACCCTAGTCAAGGGCAGTTTTGTGGATGGGAGGGTCGCTGGGACCCCATATAGACCCCATGTGTCTCCAGAAGCCAGACAGTTTGATGCCGGTTTTCCCTGAAACTGAGCCACCGTGCGCTGCTGGTTCCAGGCTCCCGGGTTATGATCCAGACTGAAATAACCCAGCCGTGAGGCCTCGCATTCCAGAGAGCAGCTGGCAGGACAGAAGTGCCCCCTCCGACAGGCCAACAGCTGCTGCAAGCGTTTCGTGAGCGGCTTTAGTTTTAGAGCCTATTTCTTTATAAATTTTGCCACACTGGGGAGATGGTCCCGGGATCCCTTACCTTGCAGAGCAGGTGGGGACAGGGCTCTGGACGCTAACCTCTGGATTCAAATTCTAACACTTCTGGTCTTGTGACCAAGCCCAAGTTATAGAGCCTCTTTGCGCCTCAGTGAGTGCATCTGTGCAATGGGACTGATGACAGAACTTGCCTCACGGAGACTTGGGGGTCCGTGTGTTCATTATGTGTAAAGTCTTAGCCTGGCCCAGAGTCCCTTCTCTTCTTAGGTACTTAGCCAGTGAGTTGTTCCCTTGCTCAGTTGCTTGGTCATGTCTGACTCTTTGCAGCCCCATGGACTGTAGCCCGCCAGAGTCCTCTGTCCTTGGAATTTTCCAGGCAAGGATACTGGAGTGGGTTGCCATTTCCTTCTTCAGGGGATCTTCCCTGACCCAGGGATTGAACCTGCATCGGCAGGTTGAACCTGTCTCCTGCATCGGCACTGCATTACCACTAGCGCCAAGAGTGCTGCCTAAGCTGGCTGTGCTAAGTATCATTGTCAGAGTCTACCTGGAGGTCAGGACGCGGCCCGCTCCACTGATGGCTCACACAGGCCCTCACCACCCCTCTCCCCACAGTGGTACCCAGAGGTGAATCACTTCTGCAAGGAGGTGCCCATCGTCGTCGTGGGCTGTAAGACTGACCTGCGCAAGGACAAGTCGCTGGTGAAGAAGCTTCGGAAAAACGGGTTGGAACCTGTGACCTACCACAGGGTAGGAGACGCAGCCCAGGGTGGGGTGGGGTGGGGGGCAGGAGAGGGCACCCCCGGGCTGATGCCACTTCGGCCCAGCCTCTCAGCACACACAGGATGTGGAGCAGGGTGGGGGGTGTTTTGGAAGCAGCCGTGGTCAAGAACTGCCAGGCTTGGAAGTTTTCAGTGTGGATGGAGAGTGAGTGGAGTGCACATCAGATGGTCCTGCCCCCCCACTTCACAGCCAGGGTTCCCCCTAGCTCTTTAGTCCGCAGGCCCCTCTCTGTGGGACACCTGGGTCAGGCCGGGAAGTTAATTAGTTGGTACCTGGAGAGGCAGAGACCCAGCCAAGAACTGAGGCAGGAAACTGGATGAAGCCATCAGGGTGCTTGGTCAGGCCTGGGGGCCGGAGCTGTGGGCACCCGAGGGGAGCGCGCCTCGGACGGCCAAGGGGCCTGGTTGGGGGGTGTGCGGCTGGGCGGGAGGCCCCCAGCAGCGGCCAGCTGATGGCAGCCCTGTTGCGCTCCCTCCTAGGGCCAGGAGATGGCGCGGGCCGTGGGCGCCGTGGCCTACCTCGAGTGCTCGGCTCTGCTCCAGGAGAACGTCCATGCCGTCTTCCAGGAGGCGGCCGAGGTGGCCCTCAGCAGCCGTGGTCGCAACTTCTGGAGGCGGATCACCCGGAGCTTTTGTGTGGTGACCTGAGGGCCTGGGCCCCTCCGCACCCCACCGCCCCGGCAGCACAGGAACGAGCTGGTTGCTGACCTCCTGCCCAGCTGGCTGGGCTGGACCCAGTCCCCAGGCTGTGACCACCGAACTGTACCTCAAACAGATGGGCACCCCTGAGGCCAGCCCCTCGACCCTGGGGCTGGGGTCCTGGATTGCAGTGAAACCCCTCTGAGGCCTGAGGAAGGGGATCCCGGGCTCCCCAGTCCTATGGAGGGCTGGTCCCTGGAGACCCCTGACTCACTCCCATCTCCCTGCCCTGGACCACGCATCCTGGAGCGGCCTGTGTGCCCTGGCGCCACCTTGTGGCTCTTCTCTGGGCTGTGCCTTCGGGACCCTCCCACCCCACGTCCCCCTGCCCATCCCAGTGGTAAACACTTGAAGATGACATCACTTGTCCATTGCGTCATGCCTCTTGTTTTGAAATGCCTTTACACACGTGTTCCATGTGGGGGATAAAAGCACACCCTGTGTAGGCACTGGGTCTAGTATAACTACCTGGATCTAAACCAGGCTATCACTTTGGGACCTTGGGCAAGTCACTTGGGCCTCTTGCCTGTGAAAGAGGCTGGTGCCTGGCACACACTGGGTGCTCACAAAAGGTTCACAAGTATCACTTTTATTTATGATAAATACAATTGATAATATTCACGGGTGTAATGTACATAGTATATTACACAGGTATAATTGTACAGTCTATAGTATTGTACAGTCAGAGTTCTCCAGAGAAACAGAACCAATAGGATGTATATTCAGAAGGTGATTTTAAGGAATCAGCTCAAAAACACAATTTTGAGGACTGGCAAGTCCAAAACCTGTAGGACAGGTTGGAGGTCGATGTTGCTGTCCTGAGTCTGAATTCTGAAGGGCAGCAGACTGGAAATTTCAGGCAGCATTTCTGTGTTGTTGACCTGAGGCAGAATTCCTTCTTCCTTGGGAAACCTCAATCTCTTCTCTTAAGACCTTCGACTGATTGCATGAGGTCCACGCACACCAAACCAGCCACTAACACCCACCCCCTCAGTTTCATTAGAAACAGCTCCAGGAGTGGGGCTGCTTCCTCCAGGTGAGGGCTCCTAGCTCAGGTTACAGAGCTGAGCTGAGACAGAGGAAGCGATGTTAGGGACCTGCTCAGAAAACCCCACCTGGATTACAGGCTCCACTCCAGGGTCTTAATGTAAGCTGCTCAGGGGTGGGAAACGACTGTTCCTGGCCTAGATTTCTAGCCTAGCTGCTCCTCCCCCAAGCACACCCATGCCCAGAATATTCTTTCTCTTCTCCCCTTCCTGCCCTCCCCAACCCAGTGAGCTAAGCCCAGCTCACACATCTCTAATTTCCCGAAATGTGAGTCCCTGGAACCCTTGATAGTTATTCTGCTAAGAAGCTAGTCACATTGACTTCTTGCACCAGACCTGGGCGTCCCTGAAGAAGGCTGTCTGTCTTCCTCGTCCCTTTGTTGGGGATGTGGCTTGGCCCCTTGGCACTGCAGACAGGCAGAGTGCTCCGTCTCTGGAGTCAGTCAAAGATCTGGGTTGGAATCCTAGTCCCGTCATTTTCCAGAGCCAGGTGATTTTATGAGCGTGACATTCCTCCAGCCTTAACAATTCCGTCTGGCAACCAGAGATCATCCTGCCCACCCTAGAGGGTTGCTGTGAGGGTGAAGTGGCAAAATGCTTGTCAGGTGCCTAGCACAGTGCCAGGAATAAAGGAGGAATGCAAGGAACATGGACTGGACCACATGGAGTAGAGCAGGGCTGCCCAGTACGTTCTTTACGGGAGGGCAAGATGCTGAACAGGATGTCTGGATCAGGCTCCCTCCCTGGGTTAACCAGAGGCTCCATCATCTATGCCTTCAACAGCCTGGTGCCCAGGGAGCTCTATGAGGTCCCCAGTGCTATGAGAAGAACTACGGGTGTAACAGGGCACAGTTTGTGCTCTTAAAGCCAAGTCTGTGTGCAGTGCCACAGAGGACGGGATCTTAATTCCAGCATGCAGGGGTGGTTGGGAAGCTACCGAGAGAGAAGGCAGTTCCATGGAAGAGAGACTGCCCAGTGAGCGTGGGGGCAATGAGTGCCTCGTGGTCCCTGGAGAGTCCATCAGATGCTGTGTGAAGTTTTACAAGGCAAACAAGAGACTCAGGACAAGGAGACCGACAGTATTAACAAGAAGGTGATGGACTGATGGGTTTGGTCCTGGAGAGTCAACCTTCTCACCTGATAAATAGGAAGAATAAATTCTGCCTTGTTGGGATGTCCTTGGTGGCCCAGCAGATAAGACTCAGCGCTCGCAATGCAGGGGGCCTGGGTTCAATCTCTGGTCAGGAAAACAGACCCCTCATGCCACAACTAAGACCCAGTGTAGAGATTCACTCTGAGCAACAACGAACACCCAGCATAGTCAAAAATTAATAAGTTTTAAAAAATGTTTTAAATAATCAATGTTGGGACTTCCCTGGCAGTCCAGTGGACTCAGCGCTTTCACTGCTGTGGTTCCAGGTATGACCCCTTGTCAGGGAATGAAGATCTCGCACATTGCTCGGTGCACCCAGAACAAAAAAAAATTTAAATGTCCACTTGATGAGGTTAACAGGGCTCAGTTGTTGGGTCAAATGCCAGTTGAGAGGCTGTGAAGGTATTTATTCAATATGATTACTTTTCAATTAGTAGATTTTGAGTAAAATAGATTACTTTGCATAACCTGTGCAGGCCTCATCCAATCAGTGGAAGGCCTTCAAACACTAAGGTTTCCTGGAGAAAAGGGTCACATGGCCAGAAGAGGGCTGAAGTTCAGCTCAGACCATTGCTGCACTTGGCCCAGGACACGGGCTGGGAGGCCAAGGTCTGGGGAGAACTGCTTTCCGTAGGCAGAGCGGAAGCAGAATGGGGGCAGGGAGGCGGGAGGGCCACAGGCATACAAACTGAACGACTAAGCACAGCACAGTGCCTCCAACAATGCCCCTAGGAGACTTCCTGGTGGTCTGGTGGTTAAGAATCCACCTTCCAGGGCAGGGGACATGGGTTCCATCCCTGGTCAGTGAACTAAGATCCCACGTGTTTGTGTGTGTGTTAAGTCGCTTCAGTCGTGTCCAAATCGCTTCAACCCCATGGACTGTTAGCCCACCAGGCTCCTCTGCCCATGGAGATTCTCCAGGCACAAATATTAGAGTGGGTTGCCATGCCCTCCTCCAGGGGATTTTCCCCACCCAAGGATCGAACCTACGTCTCTTGTCTCCTCCCTTGGCAGGCAGGTTCTTTACCACTCGCGCCACCTGGGACGCCCCCAAGATCCCACAGGCTGCAGGGCAACTAAGCCTGCACCCTGCAATGAGAAACCCCCAAGAAGCCCTCGCGCAGCAACAAAAACCCAGTGACTGCCAAAAAATTTCAAAAAACTTAAAAGCAAACACCAATGCCTCACATAGAGGAAGCACTGAAGAAATCTATGATGAATGCCGCGAAGCAATGCCCCACTTCGGGACCTCAGCTTCTCCTGCCTGGACCTCTCCCGTCTCCCAGCCTCCAGGCTCTCAGCCTCCTTCATCCTCCTCACCACCAGACACCTTCCAAAGCACGGATCCAGTCACTTGAGCCTTTTGCAGCCCCCTGCCCAGAGGAGGTCTAACTTCCCAGGTGGGGACGTGGGAGGTCTCTTGCACCCAACCAAAGCCCACCCTCCCAGCCTAGCACACCTGATGCTCTAGCCACACCCCGATAGCTGGCCCAGGCTCGAAGCCTCCTGCTGAAGCGCTTTCCCCACCTCGGCCTGCCCTTCCTCCTGGTCACTGCTTGTTCCAAGCCCCTCTACCCCCACATCCTTCAGAGTCCGGCTCAGAGGCCACCTTCTGCAGAACACCGGTGGACCTGCCGGCTTCCTGGCTCCCGCTTCACCGCACTCACGCGAACCCACCTGCACATGAGAGCGTGTGCTGTCTGTGCGTGGGTCCTTGGGCGAAGGAACTGGGTCTTCGTTCCCCGTACGGTGGGAGAGGCCGGGTTGGACGCCTTAGGACAACGCGGTTGGTGGCAGGACCAGGCAGGGTGGCCGGGAGGGCGGAGGCAGGAGCAGGACCCAGTTGGGCAGCTGTAGAGACCCAGACAGGAGGAACAAGCCGCCACAAGTCAAGGCCAGGGGACTTCTGGGCTGGGAAGCTGTGGCTGTGGGGAGGGTGGACCGCGGGGAGGGTGGGGATGCTGAGAGCAAAGGAAGAATGCAGGCCTCACCCTCGGCCCGAGATACCTGCGGGGCTGCCAGAGGTGGGAACCACCAGGTGGCTGGTTTCTAGCTTCAGGACGCGAGCCATCCCAGGGGTCCCGAGGTGGGTGCAGGGAGCGGGGCATCCCTGGAGCCGGGGTTGTTGTGGGTTGTCCGCCTCTTTCTTTTCCTCACCCGTCAAGCCCGGCTTTCAATTCCTCCCAACCCGCCTGGTAGGGTGGGCACGGCCAGACGAGTGGGAGCCTGGGGAAGGCGCAGCCTGGAGGCCAGCTGGGGCCAGGAGCCACAGACAGGCAAGTGTCTACATTTTTCTACGCCGCCTCCGCCCAGCCTTGGGGGTGTCTGCCGGGAAAGCGAGGGGAAGGGGTGGGGACCCCAAGTCATTTTCCCCAGGACAGGACACTCCCTGGCATCCTCCAGCAGGGAGGGTGGGGCACACTGTCTCTGAGTCACGAAGCTTTACTCTCCTCCTCCAAGACAGCTCCCCGGGGCCCCACGTCTGGGTGTGGGAGGGGGTTGGTGGCTGGCAGATCAGCCACTTCGGGCCACCCTCTTTGCTCTCTCCTGACTCCTGCTCTTGGGGGCCCCTCCCCTGGAGGATCGAAAAGTCACAGTTCCCCGGGAGTCACCCCGAAGTCACTAGCTAGGGCTCCAACAGATCCTGAGACCAGACAGAGGGGCAGAGAGATCCAAAGCAGAGCGGAAGAGCTGACCACCCACCCTCCATTCCTGGGCTTGATCTCCAAGCTCTATGCTTGTGATAAATCAGAGTATGGAAAGCCAGGGATTTCCCTGGTTTCCAATTCTGATTCTGCGATTTACCAATTCTGTGACCTTGGAGGAGTCATCAGGGCTCTCTGGGTGTCAGTTTCCTTGTCTGTAAAATGAGTTTATGCCAACTCCAGGCGATAGTGAAGGACAGGGACACCTGGCATCTACAGTCCTTGGGGTCGCCAAGAATCAGACACGACTGGACAACCGAACAATGAAATGAAGGGCAGAGGAGGATCTCCCTCCCGGAGTTGGATTATATGAGTTAATGCTACTATTGTCTACTCACTCACTAGTCAGTGTTAACTACTAACTAGAGTGATTGGTGGTGCTAATGGTAAAGAATCTGCCTGCCAGTGCAGGAGACGTGACAGACGTGGGTTCAGTCCCTGGGTTGGGAAGATTCCCTGGAGGAAGAAATGAAAACCCACTCCAGTATTCTTGCCTGGAGAAGCCCATGGACAGAGGAGCCTAGTGGGCTACCATCCATGATGTCACAGAGAGCCAGACACAACTGAAGCGACTTAGCTATACAAAATTGTTTTAGGGGCTGTAAAGCAGGGGCAAGCATGGAAGTGTTAGATGGATGTCTGTCCCCTCTTCTCAATCTGATCCCAGGCCTGAGAGGGACCCTGATGCCAAGGACGGGCAGCCTCAGAGGGGAGTGGACGTGGTGTACGCGGGAGACAGGCCTCTGCAGGGCAGGCTGGACCCCTGGAGGGGAGGCACGAGGATGGGTTAGAATCTCCTCCTCGGCTCATGTTTGCTGAGGGGACACTGAGCCTGGTCCAGGACTGAGGGCAGGGCACACACCCCATGTGTTGGATTGTTGTTCAGTTGCAAAGTCACATTCCACTCTTTGCGACCTGTGGCACACCAGGCTTCCCTGTCCTTCTCTGCTTCACAGAGTTAGCTCGAACTTATGTCCATTGAGTCAGTGATGCCATCCATCCAAGCATCTCATCCTCTGCCGCCCCTTTCTCTTGCCCTCAATCTTTCCCAGCATCATGGTCTTTTCCAATGAGTCAGCTCTTCACCATCAATTCTTCAGCGCTCAGTCTTCCTTATGGTCCAGCTCTCACATCCATAGTGAGTGAAGTGAAGCCGCTCAGTCATGTCCGACTCTGTGCAACCCCATGGACTGTAGCCTACCATGCTACTCCATCCATGGGATTTTCCAGGCAAGAGTACTGGAGTGGGTTGCCATTTCCTTCTCCAGAGGATCTTCCTGACCCAGGGATCAAACCCAGGTCTCTCTCATTGTAGGCAGATGCTTTACCGTCTGACCCACCAGGGAAGCCCTCACATCCACACATTACTGGAAAAACCATAGTTTTGACTATATGGACCTTTGTCAGCAAACGGATGTCTCTGCTTTTGAATACGCTGCCTAGGTTTGTCACAGCTTTTCTGGATTAGGAATTATATATTGGTTGTCTACCACGTGCGGCCCTGTTCCAGCCACTGCACACCAGGAGGAGGGTGAGGGGGCGAGCGGGATGCGGGAGCTCTAGTGTTGACCCAAGCAGCAGGGGAGGGGAGCGTCTCAAGTTCGCTGAGCAGCCTGCTCCTGCCATTGAGATAAACAGGAAGGGAGCTGGGCATTCCAGGGCGGGGGTGGGGCGTCAGTGAAGGAAAGACACGTAGAGCTCAGCTCCTGCGCCCACGCCTCTGCAGCACCGTTGCTCTGGAACTCCTGCTCCTGTCTGCCCATCAGATCAGCATCTCAGAGTCCGGTCTGGCCGGGCGCTATACGTGACATACCGCACGTCCTTCCCCGGTCAGCACTTCCATGCCCACGCTTTGCAGCTGAGGAAACAGTTTCAGGAAGTTGGAGAGTGGGACCCACAGCAGTGAGTGGCGGAGATGGGCACTTGGACATGGGGACTCCCAGCCCTGGCTCCTGACCGCCCCCTGGGCACCGGCCAGGCAGCTGGACCTTGACCAGCAGAGGGCAGCAGGGCCCAAGGAGAGGAGACGTCCCCAGCTCCGGGAGGCTGGTCTGCAGGGCAGGCCAGGTGCGGAGAGCTACCTGCCCCCGGGACACACCGCTCCCTCCAGCCACCGCCCACCAAGCAGGGCGGATCCTAACAACTCAGTGAAGAAAAGATAAGCTCAGACAGGCCATGTGACTTGAGTACTTGGCCAGTCTGAGCAGAACTAGAATGAAAGTGATGCTGTCTGGTGTCTGTAATGGTTCTAGGGTCAGAACCTAGGATTCGAATCCCAATCCTTCTCACAGGATTATAGTTGAGTGCATGGGCTGGAGTGATATCGAAGCAATGTGTTTCCCATGGGGCCATGTAACCCAGCCTCATTTATAATCTCCTCTGTGATAACCCTGGGGAGGCAGCTTGGAACTGAGGGGTCTCCTCTCTGCCCTCCTCACCCTTGATCCCAACCCAGAATTTATAGTTCAGGAGATGATTATAATACTTAAGAATGTTGAGACTTCCCTGTTGGTACAGTGACTAAGACCACCCTCCCAAAGCAGGGAGCCCAGGTTTGATCGTCTGGTCAAGGAACTAGATCCCTCATGCTGAAATGAAGATCAAAGATCTGGCGTCCTGCAACCAAGACCCAGAGCAACGAAATCAATAAATAAATATCTTTTGAAAATACTTAAGAATATCAAAGTACCACAAGGGATTGCTGCCAGAAAGTAATGTGCTGTGGGTCAGTAGATGGGGGCATGCCCTCCCCACCTGTGCAGTCAGAACCAGCCTGGGGGGCTGGCTGGAGGAGGAGGGAAGGGGAGGATCCAGAGGACCCTGGGGCCCTTCCTGCTGGAGAGCCAGCCCTCAAGGAGACCCAAGCCCTGTGAGGGGGGTGGGATGGTGCTGAGGAAAGACAGTGAAGTTGCTAACTCTCTTCTTCTGGACCTCCTCCTAGCTGAAGGCATTAATCATGTGAAGGACTGGCTCAAAACTGGGAAATGAGTATATCAAGGCTTTATATTATCACCCTGCTTATTTAACTTAAATGCGGGGTACACCATGTGAAATGCCGAATGGATGAATCACAAGCTGGAATCAAGATTGCCAGGAAAAATATCAACAACCTCAAATATGCCTCACTCTAATGGCAGAAAGTGAAGAGGAACCAAAGAGCCTCTTTTTTTTTTTTTCACTGTCAAACCAAAGGTCAAGTTTAAATTTAATGACTTTGATATTAACTACACACATACTGGTAAGTGCTAAGACTTAAAATCTTCCGGTTCAGTTGTGACTCCAGACAGGATCCAGAGAGGAGTTCTAAAAGTCTCTTCTCTGGGTTTTATGGAGACTTCCTCTACCCTCCTNCTCGACTCTGTTGTTTATTAGCTCTGGGACTTTGAGCAAGTTGCCCTTCTGTCCTGGTCAGGGACTGCCGGTTGCAAAGAACAGAAATGGGAGCCAGCTCAAGTTAAAAAGGACATGACTGTAGGGCTCTAGGGGATCTCAGGAAGGTGAAGGCTGGGAAGCTGTCTGTTTTGCACGCTTGTGCAGTCTGTGCCCCAGACGAGGGCGTCAGCCTGAGGTGGGGCTGAGATCCAGGGGGTGCCGCACTGTGGGGAGGAGGGGGAGTCAGGAGGGGCAGAGGGAGCCGGACCTCACGGGAACTAGGAATTCCTCAGCTTACTCTCCGACTTGCTGGCCTTTCAGGGTCTTACACCTGCTTCTCTCTGAGCCGGCTCCATTCTCCCAGGTCTCTCCATGGACTGCTTTTGTTTTTTCAAACAAATCTCACTGCTCTCCGAAGCAGAAGTCCCTCAAGCCATTGCCTTGCTGGGGGGCTGGCTTACCTGGCCCTGACTCCAGTGGAGCTTGCTTCAAGTGTGCAGTATTGTCTCACTAGAATCTCTGGCTTCAGATTAGAGAGATAGAAAGAGAAAGAAGAGAGAGAGAGACAGACAGGCAGGCTGAGTCCAGCCTACACGTTGGCTCCCTCTATTCAGGTGTCCATCCGCAGTCACAGGGGAGAGGCCCTTGGCACTGAGGAGAGGAGGAGAATCCTCTTAGAAGGAAATGTGAGCAGGGAGGTAGGAACTGGCATTTCTAGAAATTCTTTACTAAGTCTCCTTGCTATATTGTGAAATGAGAATAAAAGGCCTGATGTGCAGATCAAATGAGATAATCTGGTACCAATATATTAAACACCTCTATTACTTTCCTATGACTGCTATAACAAATGACCATGAACATGTGGCTTAAAAACAATGGGAACTTAGTCTTTCATAGTCAGGGAGGCTAGAAACCAACTTGACTTTGGAGGGAGCCACGCTCCCTCCAAAGGCTCCAGGGGAGAATCCGTCTTTGCCTTTGGCAGCTTTGGCGGCTCCAAGCATTCCTTGGCTTGTAGCAGCATCACTCTAGTCTCTGCCTCCATCTTCACATTACCTTCTTTCCTCTTATGTCTCAAGTCTCCCTCTGCCTTTCTCTTACAAGGACACATCATCAGATTTAGGGCCCAGTTGGATAATCCAGAAAAACTCACCTTGAGATCCTTGACTTTATCACATCAGCAAAACCCTTTTCTCAAATGAGACAGCATCTATAGATTCTGAGGGTTTTGTGCATGTATCTTTGGGGACCATTTTTTTAGCCTAATACCGTCTCTGACATAGCACCTGGCTTATTTTAAGAATTCATACATAGGACCTAGTTTCTAAGGATCATGTCTGCGAGTCAGGATTCCCGATCCAGAGACAATGGCCCCGATGGGATGGAACCCGAAGGCGTCATCGAGAGTAACTGGAATGAGATTGTCGACAGCTTTGATGACATGAACCTCTCAGAGTCACTCCTCCGTGGCATATATGCCTATGGTTTTGAGAAGCCCTCTGCCATCCAGCAGCGAGCCATTCTTCCTTGTATCAAGGGTTATGATGTGATTGCTCAAGCCCAATCTGGGACTGGGAAAACAGCCACTTTTGCCATATCAATTCTGCAACAGATTGAATTAGATCTAAAGGCCACCCAGGCCTTGGTCCTGGCACCCACTAGAGAGTTGGCCCAGCAGATACAGAAGGTANGCTAATATACAGGCACTGTTCTTGTTCTTATTCTGATTCAGATACAGAAGGTAGTTATGGCCTTAGGAGATTACATGGGTGCCTCGTGCCATGCCTGCATTGGGGGTACCAATGTACGTGCTGAGGTGCAGAAGCTGCAGATGGAAGCCCCTCATATCATCGTGGGTACCCCAGGCCGTGTGTTCGACATGCTTAACCGGAGATACTTGTGTGAGTGCATCAGTTTTCTAGTCCTCTGGGTCACTTCCCTATGCATGCTTTTTTCCAGTTTCTTAATTTGGTTATAATTTCATTCCCAATGATATCCTCTGAAAGAGCTGCTCTGTGATGAACCCCATGCGTGTCATCTGAGCCTGGCTTCCCTGTCATTTCAGCCCAGGTAGTGTTCTACTTCCCAAGGCTGTTGTCTGGCTTGGAAAGGGGATCCCAGGCAAAGGATCAACCTTTGTATTCTGAGAGCAGACTGCCTGTCCTCTTCTTTATCAGGATAGCTAGGTGTATTTCAGATTTTTTAATAGCTACCTGTTGGTGTTTCCTTTTTCTTGCAGCTCCCAAATACATCAAGATGTTTGTACTGGATGAAGCTGATGAAATGTTAAGCCGTGGATTCAAGGACCAGATATATGACATATTCCAGAAGCTCAGGGAAAGATTGAAGGCAGGAGGAGAAGGGGACGACAGGATGAGATGGTTGGATGGCATCACTGACTCAATGGACATGAGTTTGAGCAAGCTCAAGGAGATGGTGAAGGACAGGGAAGCCTGGCTTGCTGTAGTCCATGTGGTCGTAAAGAGTTGAATGTGACTGACTGACTGAACAACAACACTTAATCAATCAAGGGATCTGAACCACTCCCCACACACCCATGCACACACCCCAGTGTGCTAATAAGGAAGATAAGTTAGGACACCTGCCCAAGGTCACACAGTGCCACCAGGACACAGGTCTTCCTGAAGGACTGGAGTGACTCCTCAGACTGAAACTCTGTTCCATCAAAGTGCTAGCGAGGTTTCTATTCAGAATTGTTAAAGGGGACCCAGGAATCAGTAAACGAAAGGAGAAGGATTTTGGAGAAGGAAAAACGCTTTCTGGATTCTTCTATGACACTCTTGGTTTCAGATACACTGAGTCATTGTCAGATCAAGATCAGCAAACAGTGGCTAACTAAATGGGTGGTGTCTGGGCTTCCTCTCCTGTGAAGGGGCAATGGTAATGCCATTGCTGGCTCACAGGTTGGAAGAGGTCATAACTCCCAGCCTAGTGAGTGCCCAGCAAATGAGAGCCCAGGGGGTGTGATTAGTGACATCATTATTGGCGTCTTCAGGCCAGAGCCAGCCCAGAGGACAGCTCTCCTGCAGAGCTTATACCGTGGAGGGCCCTGTGGGGTTCCTGGGCACAGGACCCTTCTGTGTCCCCCGTCTCTTTGATTATAGGAAACAGCCTTCATTCAACCTCCATGACCTTCCCTGAGTTCTGATGGGCAGATTCAAGCAGTTGTTAATCAGGGAAGGGAGGTGATAGGAGACGGGGGAGAAACAGTTAAGAGCAGCCTTGGGGTAAAATCCTGTTTCCCCATCAGAAGATACACACAACAATGTCTTTGAGCTATTTTGCAGATACTGAAGTCCCCTCCAGGTATGTGTGTGCTCGGTCAAGTTTAAGTCTTTTCGACCCCAAGGACTGTAGCCCACCAGGCTCCTCTGTCCTTGAAATTTTTCTGGCAAGAATACTGAACTGGGTTCCCATTCCCCACTCCAGGGGAATCTTCCCAACCCACAGTTCAAACCTGCATTTCTTGCATCTCCTGCATTGGCAGGCAGATTCTTTACCACTGTGCCACCTGGGAAGCCCTCATACCACCCTTGATCTTAGCCAAAAGGTCAAGAAGGGATGGGAGAAGTTAATGATTAATGATGGTATACTGCCCACAAGTATGTAGATGACACCACCTTTAAGGCAGAAAGTGAAGAGCAACTAAAGAGCCTCTTGATGAAAGTGAAAGAGGAAAGTGAAAAAGCTGGCTTAAAACTCAACAGTTAAAAAATGAAGATCATGGCATCCAGTCCCATCACTTCATGGCAGATAGATGGGGAAACAACGGAAATAGTGAGAGACTTCATTTTCTTGGGCTCCAAAATCACCGCAGATGGTGACGGCAGCCATGAAATTAAAAGATGCTTGTTCCTTGGAAGAAAAGCTATGACCAACCTAGATAGCATATTAGAAAGCAGAGACATTACTTTGCTGACAAAGTCCATCTAAAAGCTGTGTTTTTTCTAGTAATCATGTGTGGATTTGAGAGTTGGACCATAAAGAAAGCTGAGTGCCAAAGAACTGATGCTTTTGAACTGTGGTGTTAGAGAAGACCCTTGAGAGTCCTTTGGACTGCAAGGAGATCTAACCAGTCAATCCTAAAGGAAATCAGTCCTGAATATTCATTGGAAGGATTGATGCTCAAACTAAAGCTCCAATAGGTTGGCCACCTGATGCAAAGAACTGACTCATTGGAAAAGACCCTGATGTTGGGAAAGATTGAAGGGGGAAGGAGAAGGGGACGACAGAGGATGAGATGGTTGGATGGCATCACTGACTCGATGGACGTGAGTTTGAGCAAGCTCAAGGAGATGGTGAAGGACAGGGAAGCCTGGCGTGTCACTGTCCATGGGGTTCCAAAGAGTTGGACACAACTGAGGGACTGAACCGACTAACTGCCCACAAGGATGTAGACCCCAGACCAGCTGGATCCGAAGGTTGATAACGCGGACTCCTGCTGCCCTCACCACTAACCCATCAGAAGAGCGTCCAGGAGCTGATCACACCCTCTTTGAACAATTTCTATAAAACTTGTCACTATCTTCCCCAAGTGGGGACATTTAATTTAAAGGACATGAGCCTACTGTGTCCCCCTTTGCCTGGCAATGCAATAAAGTTATCCTTTTCCGCTTCACCCAAAACCCTGTCCCTGAGATTTGATTCAGCACGGGTGCACAGAGAAGCTGAGCTTGTGGCATCAGTTAACACCAGCTACTGAGGGGTCTTTGGGGGTGGGAGTGCTGCTCCATGTCTCCCACCACTCCAGGCACCCAGGACTGTTTAAGGCTCACCGTGAGCACCCCCTTTGGGGGGCCACTCTCTCCCAGCTCCTAGTGCTCCCAACAACCGTAATGGCTCAGAGAGTAAAGAATCCGCTGGCAATGTGGGAGCCCTGGGTTCGATCCCTGGGTTGGGAAGATCCCCTGGAGAAGGGAATGGCAACCCACTCCAGTATTCTGACCTGGAGAATTCCATGGACAGAGGAACCTGCCAGGCTATAATCCATGGGGTCGCAGAGTCAGACAGGACTGAGCAAATTTCACTTTCACTTTTCAAGGATACTCTTAACAGAGAAGTGAGAAATGCAAAGCTCCTTGGGATTCAAATCTCCAGGAGTTCCATAATCTCAACCACTGTACCACACCAACCCCCTTTCTGCCTCCAGCAGCCCTCCTGGGGCTCCCCGGCCCCACCGAGCGCCCCGCCTCTCAACATGCCCAACAGAGGAAGCACTCGGGTGGGGTTGGAGGAGGGCAGGGTGGCAGCAAATCAGGTGCACCCCGGGGGGGAAAAAGGGAAGGAAGGAAGGAGGGAAGGAACGGAGGGAGGAGACAGAAGATGAACAATTTGGGAAGTAATTTTATTTTTATAACAAAAATTAATCAAAGCACTTTACCTCCATGATCTTCCTTCCCTAACCTAATCATGAGAAAAAACCCCAGTGGACAGATATTTCATAAGCTACCTGAGAGGTCGTCCTCAAAACTGTCAAGGCCATCAAAAGTGAGGAAACTCAGAAACTGCAGCACAGAGGAGCCCAAGAAGATATGAAAAACAGAAATTCCCTGGCAGTCCAGCGGTTAGGATACTGCACTTTCACTGCCAAGGACCCAGGTTCAGTCCCTGGTCAGGGAACTATGATCCCATAAACTGCAAAGCGCACAGCGTGGCCAAAAAAAAGCAAGCCAAACGTGTGGTATCCTGGATGAGACCCTGCAATAGAAAAGGATAAAAAGAAAAGGTAAAAACTGATATATTAGGTATTAGATATTAGGTAAAACTAAGGAAATCTGCTAATCTATCAGTGTTGGTTCATTACTGATGAACAAGTGTAACAGATGCACTTCCTTTTTGTACAGACAAATACTAGGTGCTAGGGGGAAAACAGGATGCAAGCGGAAATGCAATTCTCTGTATGATCTTATTCTTTGTTAACATACAGTTTCTAAAATGAAAAGGTTATTTAAAAATTAGTCCAGGACATCCCTGATGGTCCAGTGGTTAAGAATTCTCCTTCTAATGCAGGGGAGGCGGGTTCAGTCAGTGGTTGGGGAACTAAGACTCCTCATGCCATGGGGCAACTAGGCCCAAGCAGCGCAAATACTGGGCGCCGGTGCTCTGGAGCCTGCTCACCACAACTGGAGAGAAGCCCACTTGCTACAGCGAAGATCCCGCACGCCGCAACAGAGACCTTCCCGCCGGCAGTTCTTGCCTTGCCCTGCTCCGTCCTCGGCTCAGCTGTAGAAATTCTCCAAGGTTCCTCCCTTCCTACCTGGCTTTGCCTGAAATTCTTCTCTCACCTCCACCACAGTGTCCCATTCCAGGGCCCAGCCTCATGCACAGGTGACCAGAGACCACTCCCCCGTAAGACTGGTCTGGATAGAATTTTGGCCAGAGGCAGAAGGAGGCTAATTGTGGTTCTGGAGAAGACTCTTGAGAGCCCCTGGGATAGCAAGGAGATCTAACCAATCAATCCTAAAGGAAATCAATCTTGAATATTCATTGGTAGGACTGATGCCGAAGCTGAAGCTCCAATACTTTGGCCACCTGATGCGAAGAGTCGATGCATTAGAAAAGACCCTGATGCTGGGAAAGATTGAAGGCAGGAGGAGGGAGTGGCAGAGATGGTTGGATGGCATCCCCGACTCAATGGACAGGAGTTTTAGGAAACTCTGGGAGATGGTGAAGGACAGGGAAGCCTGGCGCGCTGCAGTCCATGGGGTTGCAAATAGTTGGACACAACTTAGAGACTGAACAACAAATCGGGAGGCTGTAGCCAGGTGGCCGGGGGACCAGGGCCGCTTCTGGCCAGTGGACAGCTGTGTCTTGTCCCCAGCAGATGCCCCGGCCTCCCTGGCAGGAGCCTTGCAGTTTGTGCCCTGCCCTGGCAGGCCTTTGATACCTGCATAATCCTTTCTGCTGAGGAGGCCAGCTACAGGGTGTGGAGAGGCCTTGGGAGCAGCTCTGCCGGACACCAAGACCCTGAGAGGAGTGAATTGGTGTCCTGGGCCCCAAAAACCAGGGTCACTCAGGCAGGCCGTCAGCCCAGGGGCGGGGCCGTGCCCTGGGACTCCAAATTGAGTTCACTGGGACCAAGGGCTTGGATGTGGTTCCAAACTGTGTTTAGATAACTGATTGACCCTGCCTCCCGGGCCAAGGGAACTTGGGCTCTGGCTGACCTGACACAGCGAGAGTGAGAATGTGTGAGCAAGCCCATCAGGGGTTGTTTACCTCTCCATTGTCTGAAGCCAGTGTCTGTTTGTTTAAACTTCAGGAGGTCTCCTGTGGGTTCATTTGAGTCTCCGTTGCAGTTGGGAACTTGAATTTCACAAGTATGTGTGAATTACACCCATCTTATCTGTCTTGCCTGAAAGTAGAGCGGTTCAGGCTTTAGACAGTCCACACACATTCAACGAATATTTTTTGTACTGAGGGAGACCCCAGGGGTGTCACCAAGCCTCTGGGACCTGCCCTCAGCCATTTTGCCATCTAGGTTGGAGGGGGGGGGTTTGCTCAGGCCATGATGATTAGTCTTTAGGGGCTCTCAACTAAAAGAATATGCCCCCCCCCCACCCCCCGGCATAGGTAAAAGAATATCCAGCAACGCCAGGGCTTCCCTGGTGGCTCAGTGGTAAAGAATCTGCCTGCAATGCAGGAGACCCGCGTTTGATCCCTGGGTTTGGAAGAGCCCCTGGAGAAGGAAATGGCAACCCACTCCAGTATTCTTGCCTGGAGAATTCCATGGACAGAGGAGCCTGGCGGGCTAGAGTCCATGGGGTCACAAAGAGTCAGAAATGACTCAAGCAATGAAGCAGCAGCAGCCACTCTGAGGATTTACCCAGGCGTCTACTTTGACTAATTTAAATATATATATATCTTTAACTGATGCTGAAGCTGAAGCTCCACTACTTTGGTCACCTGATGCGAAGAGCAGAGGATGAGATGGTTAGAAAGCACCAGCGACTCTGTGGACATGAGTTTGAGCAAGTACCAGGAGATCGTGAAGGACAGAGGAGCCTGGCTGGCTTGCTGCAGTCCATGGGGACACCAAGAGTCAGACATGACTTAGCAACTGAACACAGACAATGATACATATATGTATTTGGTTGCATCAGGTCTTTGCTGCGGCATGCGGGATCTTTCGTTGCGGTGCTCTGGCTTCTCTCTAGTTGCTGCGTGCGGGCTCCAGAGCACCCAGGCTTAGTTCCAGGGCACAGGTTTAGTTGCCCCACAGCACATGAGATCTTAACTCCCTGACCAGAAATGGAACCTGCATCCCCTGTGTTGGAAGGCGGATTTTTAACCACTGGACCAAAGGGAGCTCCCTGGACCCTCTTTGGGGCGTCTGCTCCAGTCACATAAGCGTCCTGAGACCCGCAGACCAGCCTGCCCCGTTGCCGCACCTCCTTCCTCTCCTCGCTTAGAGGCAGCTTCCGCTCCAGCCCCCAGGTTCAGGGGCCACGGCAGAGGGCCGCGTGTCCTGGGCAGGGAGCAGCTTCTCTCAGCAGAGGCCCCCCTCCGCTGCCGGCCTGTGGCTGCAGCCCCTGCAAACCCGCCCCCCATCCTTCCACAATTGCTGCAGGAGCTCAAGGTACCTTGGTCTCCTGACTGGGCTCTCACTCTCTCTCTCTCAGAAGGAAGCAGAACTTCAGTTTAGCAGCATTGCCTCATGCCTACCCTGGAGAACCTCAAGAGGAAAGTAAGCTTGAGCTGGGCAGTCCGAAGTAGCTCCAGAAGATCACCCTACCAGGCTCAGCTTTGTGGGTGCGTCATCTCAGCACCCACAGAGCCACAGCGTCACCCCAGGCACAGCTAAACTGCGAAGGCTCAGGGCTGCTTCCCAGGGATTGGTGTCCTCAGACTTGTCACAAAACTATGAGCTTTGAGGCCCTTGGCTGGGGCCCTGAGAGCACGTTGCTGCTGGCCCCTTGCCTGAAACTCGACGTCCCCCTGCACAGCATTGATCAGAGGACAGTGGACATCTGGGTGGTGGGGCATGGGGGCGTTTTCCAGCTGCTAACTATAGTGCACGTGTCAACTGCAAACTGCTGAAACTTGCACGGAGTAGGTGGGTGGCAGGCAACTGTGGTTACTGGGACTGGAGGGCAGGGGACTTTAGCCTGCGGGCTGGGTGGATGGAAGTTGGCAGGCAGGACGGAGGGGGTGTGTGGAGGGGGAGGACGAGGAGCAGGGCCTGCTTTTCAGGAGGAGGAATCAGACCACACTGCCCTCCTGCTTCCCAGGTCCTCTCCCCTCTCAGGCTGCTGTCACGCCCTGCATGGCAGCCGTTGCCTCCCTCTGGCATTTGTTGTGGCCTTTTTGATCTCCTCCACTGGTCTATGATTCTGTTTAAGAGAGAGGCCAGGCAGGGCCTTCCTTGGCCTTTGCAAGCTTCATGTATGCTGGGGGCCTGATGGTGACCCCTATTTGGCCTCCTCAGCCACGTCACATGACATGTCTCATCCCCCAGCCTGCAGCCATGCCCGGAACCCAGGGAATGCTTCTCACGATGCCCTGCGCTCCACCCATGCCTGGCCATTGCTCTGTAGCCATCGAAGCCGCCACCTGCCCTAGAAAACTTCATTCTACCTCACCTGTCGTTCACCGCACACTCAGCCGTCTGTGTGTTTACAGAGCAGGAACATGCTCACTTACGTTTTTCGTTTTTTTCGCTGCACTGGGTTTTAGTTGAAACACATAGGCTCTTTAGTTGAGGCATATATGATCTTTTTTCAGTTGCAGCATGTGGGATCTGGTTCCCTGACCAGAGACTGCACCTGGGCCCCCTGCATTGGGAACCTGGACTCTCAGCCACTGGACCACCAGGGAAAGCCCTGGTTGTATGTTTAAATAATCCTTCTGGAAAGTGTTGTGCTCGTTGCTAAGTCGTGTCTGACTCTTTGCAACCCCATGGGCTGTAGCCCGCCAGTCTCCTCTGTCTGTGGGATTTCCCAGGCAAGAATACTGGTGTGGGTTGCCATTCTCTTCTCCAGGAGAACTTCCTGACCCAGGGATTGAACCCATGTCTCCTGCACTGGCAGGCGGAGTCTTTACCACTGTGCCGCCTGGTCGGTCCATCCTTCTGGGGAGGCTGGCCTGGGGAACGCGGGCCCGGGAACCCTGTTATCTGGGTTCAAATGCTAGTTCTGTCTGTCCCAGCCATGTGACCTTAGGCAAGACCAAGTGCTTGGCCCTCAGTCTCCAAAGCGGGGTAAACGTCACACCTCCTCACGGGGAGTTTAGGATCAGCGTGAAGACTGGGACAGGGCTGGGCCCTCAGTACACATGAATGGTTGAGAGAGCATCTCTAGAAGCTGGTGGGGACCCAGCTGGTGGCAGCGGGGGGCCCTCTGGGAACAGGGGTTCCAGTGAGATGCTGCCGCCCTCGGGCCTCCGCTCACTCTCCGCCAGAGCCCAGCGGATGCCTCCAGCCAGGCTGGCCCCCCTTGGGGTGGGCCTTGGCGCAGGTTTTCCCTCCAGAGGACCTTCTTGGACACACCTGCAGACCCCCACAGCCCCTCACGCCTAGAAAGCCTTAGCGAAGGGTGCTGCTTAAGTCTCACAATACTTTCTTTCGGGCATTGACAGCTCTCCTCAGGTGCCTCCTGTCCTAGTTCTCTCTCTCCTAGAACTTTCTCTCCACTGCATTCTGCAGCCCTGGACGGGGCACCCGCCCACAGCCCCTAGGCAGTCTCCATTCCGTACCTCTGCCCAGGGGCTGCCAAGGCTTCGAACCGCACAGAAGCGCCCGCTGCCGCTGGAGGCAGCCCTCAGCCAATGACAGGGGGCAGCTGGTGGACAAATGACACTGTGAGGCCTGGGCTGCCATCTCCCACAGCCCGCAGCCAGGCTGAGCTCAGAGGCCCTCTGTGGTAGTCCTTTCTTGTTGTTGTTGATTTATTTATGGCTGCACTGGGTTTCTGTTGCTGCACGTGGGTATTCTCCAGCTGCAACAAGTGGGAGCTACTCTTTGCTGCGGTGTGCAGGCCTCTCACTGCCGTACCTTCTCTCGTTGCAGAGCACGAGCTCTAGGGCATGCCGGCTCAGTAGCCCCACAGTTCTGTTCAGTCGCTCAGTCGTGTCCGACTCTGCGACCCCATGGACTGCAGCACAGCAGGCCTCCCTGTCCATCAACAACTCCCAGAGTTTACTCAAACTCTTGTCCATTGGGTCGGTGATGCTATCCAACCATCTCATCCTCTGTCGTCCCCTTCTCCTCCTGCCCTCAATCTTTCCCAGCATCAGGGTTTTTTCAAATGAGTCAGTTCTTTGCATCAGGTGACCAAAGTATTGGAGTTTCGGCTTCAGCATCAGTCCTTCCAATGAATATTCGGGACTGATCTCCTTTAGGATGGACTGGTTGGATCTCCTTGCAGTCCAAGGGACTCTCAAGAATCTTCTCCAACACCACAGTTCAAAAGCATCACTTCTTCTGTGCTCAGCTTTCTTTATAGTCCAACTCTCACATCCATACATGACTACTGGAAAAACCACAGCTTTGACTAAATGGACCTTTGTTGGCAAAGCAATGTCTCTGCTTTTTAATATGCTGTCTAGGTTGGTCATAACTTCTCTTCCAAGGAGTAAGAGTCTTTTAATTTCATGCCTGCAGTCACCATCTGCAGTGATTTTGGAGCCCCCCAAAATAAAGTCTGTCACTGTTTCCACTGTCTTCCCATCTATCTGCCATGAAGTGATGGGACCAGATGCCATGATCTTAGTTTTCTGAATGTTGAACACTGCTGAGTTTTCCAAATTTGCTGGCATATTGAGTGCAGCACTTTCACAAATCTTTTAGGATTTGAAATAGCTCAACTGGAATTCTATCACCTCCACTAGCTTTGTTCATAGTGATGCTTCCTTCCAGAATGGACTTCGCATTCCAAGATGTCTGGCTCTAGGTGAGTGATCATACCATTGTGATTATCTGGGTCATGAAGATCTTTTCTGCATAGTTCTTCTGTGTAATCTTGCCACCTCTTCTTAATATATTCTGCTTCTGTTAGGTCCCTACCATTTCTGTCCTTTATTTTGCCCATCTTTGCATGAAATGTTCCCTTGGTATCTGTAATTTTCTTGAAGTGATCTCTAGTCTTTCCCATTCTATTATTTTCCTCTATGTCTTTGCAGTGATCACTGAGGAAGGCTTTCTTATCTCTCCTTGCTATTCTTTGGAACCCTGCATTCAAATGGGTATATCTTTCCTTTCTCTTTTGCCTTTTTCTTTCCACAGCTATTTGCAAGACCTCCTCAGACAACCATTTTGCCTTTTTGCATTTCTTTTCCTAGGGGATGGTCTTGATCCCTGCCTCCTGTACAATGTCATGAACCTCCATCCATAGTTCCTCAGGCACTCTGTCTATCAGATCTAATCCCTTGAATCTATTTCTCACTTCCACTGTATAATGGTAAGGGATTTGATTAAGGTCATACCTGAATGGTCTAGTGGCTTTCCCTACCTTCTTCAATTTAAGTCTGAATTTGGCATTAAGGAGTTCATGATCTGGGCCACAGTCAGCTCCCAGTCTTGTTTTTGATGACTGTATAGAGCTTCTCCATCTTTGGCTGCGAAGAATATAATCAATCTGTTTTGGTATTGACCACCTGGTGATGTCCATGTGTAGAGTCTTCTCTTGTGTTGTTGGAAGAGTGTGTTTGCTATGACCAGTGTGTTCTCTTGGCAGAACTCTATTAGCCTTTGCCCTGCTTCATTCTGGCCAAATTCAAGGCCAAATTCACCTGTTACTCCAGGTATTTCTTGACTTCTTACTTTTGCATTCCAGTCCTCTATAATGAAAAGGACGTCTTTTTTGTGTGTTAGTTCTATAACGTCTTGTAGGTCTTCACAGAACCGTTCAACTTCAGCTTCTTCAGCATTACTGGTCATGGCATAGACTTGGATTACTGTGATATTGAATGGTTTGCCTTGGAAACAAACAGATCATTCTGTTGTTTTTGAGACTGCATCTAAGTACTGCATTTAAGACTCTTTTGTTGACTATGAGGGCTACTCCATTTCTTCTAAGGGATTCTTGCCCACAGTAGTAGATATAATGGTCATCTGAGTTAAATTCACCCATTCCAGTCCATTTTAGTTTGCTGATTCCTAAAATGTCAATGTTCACTCTTGCCACTTCCTGTTTGACCACTTCCTGTTCAACCACTTCCAATTTGCCTTGATTCATGGGCCTAACATTCCTGGTTCCTATGCAATATTGCCCTTTACAGCATCAGACTTTTACTTCCATCACCATCACATCCACAGCTGGGTGTTGGTTTGCTTTGGATCCGTCTCTTCATTCTTTCTAGAATTCATTCTTTCTATTTCTCCACTGATCTCCAGTGGTGTTTTGGGCACCTACCGACCTGGGGAGTTCATCTTTCAGTGTCCTATCTTTTTGCTTTTTCATACTGTTCATGGGGTCTCAAGGCAAAAATACTGAAGTGGTTTGCCATTCCCTTCACCAGTGGATCACATTTTGTCAGAACTCTCCACCATGACCCGTCCATTTTGGGTGGCCCTATGGGGCATGGCTCATAGTTTCATTGAGTTAGACAAGGCTGTGGTCCATGTGATCAGAATGGTTAGTTTTCTGTGATTATGGTTTTCAGTCTGCCTGCCCTCTGATGGAGAAGGATAAGAGGCTTTATGGAAGCTTCCTGATGGGGGAAACTGGGTCTTGTTCTGTTGGACTGGACCATGCTCAGTAAATCTTTAATCCAATTTTCTGTTGATGGGTGGGGCTGTGTTCCCTCCCTGTTATTTACCTGGGGCCAAACTCTGGTGGAGGTGATGAAGATAATGGAGACCTCCTTCAAAAGGCCCCATGCATACACTGCTACACTCAGTGCCCCCGACCCTGCAGCAGGCCACCGCCAACCCACGCCTCCACCGGAGACTCCTGGACACTCACGGGCAAGTCTGGGACAGTCTCTCGTGGGGTCACTGATCCTTTCTCCTGGGTCCTAGTGTGCACAAGGTTCTGTTTGTGCCCTCCAACAGTTTATGTCCCCAGTCCTGGGTAAGTTCTGGCAGCTTTAGGGTGGGGTTAACAGTGACCTCCTCCCAGAGGGCTTATGCCATACCCAGGTCTGCTGTGCCCAGAGCCCTGCCCCTGGAGCAGTTCACTGCTGACCCCCCTCCACAGGAGACACTCAGACACGGTTGTCTCAGTCTCCGTGGGGCCTCTGGGTCCTGGTGCACACAAGGTTTGTTTGAGCCCTCTGAATGTCTCTGGAAGGTATGGGGTTTGATTCTAAACATGATTTCGCCCCTCCTACTGTCTTGCTGGGGCTTCTCCTTTGGCCTTGGATGCGGGGTATCTCCTCACAGTTGCTCCAGCAACACACAGCCAGTAGCCCCACGGTATATGGAATCTTCCCAGACCAGGGATTGAACCCATGTCCCCTACACTGGCAGGCAGATTCTTAACCACTGGGCCACCAGAGACATCCCCTGTGTGGTAGTTTTGATGACAGGCCTTCTGTTAAGGGCCTTCTCCCTTCCTTGCCTATTCATCCTCTTCCCCTTTCTGGGCTCCCCAGAACCACTTCCCACATAAACTTATACTTGAATCTTTGTCTCAGGGTGTGTTTCCAGGTGAACTCAAACTCAGGTGGTGCTAGTGGTAAAAGACCCGCCTGTCAATGCAGGAGACGTAAGAGATGTGAGTTTGATACCTGGGTCAGGAAGATCTGCTGGAGAAGGGAATGGCAACCCACTCCAGTATTCTTGCCTAAAAAATCCCATGGACAGAGAAGCCTACGAGCTACAGTCCACAGGGTCACAAAGAGTCAGATGTGAATCAGTCGACTTAGCATGAACTCAAACTAAGACACACTCAGTTGCTTACTCGAAGACCAGGGCCGGCTGTGCTTGTCTTTCTACGCCCAGTGCTCGGTACAGCACCTGGCACTTACAACCACAGTGCAATCCTTCCAAATTCTTCCACGGATTCCGCATCTGCACGGGGGCCTGACAGTGTTCTCAGCCTTTAATTAACAGGATGAAACCCTCAGCGTTTCATCAGAGTTCCTGGTTGCAGACCACAGAGACTGACTCCAGCTAAGCAAAGCAGAGAGGAATTTAACGGCTGTGAGTAAGTGCCAGGGTACAGGTGGAGGTGGCGGTAGAAGTGACTCCCAGGACGGACTGGGGGCTGAGGGACCAGGTTTGGGTTGGTAGGAAGTTTTGGAGCTCTGTGGCCCCACCGCCAGTGACTTAGCAGGAACAGGCTGCCAGTTAGGAATGATCTCCGCTTTCCCCCACATCCTAAAGTCTCCTGCTTGGGCGTCAACATCCTGCAGGAGAGGGTCAGCTGGGTCAAACCTATGACACAAGCCACCCAGCTGCGTGAGGTGAGGGGCCAAGGGCCTGGCCCCTTAAGTTCCCACAGAGGGAAGACCTCCAAGGAGGGGCCTCCAAGATAGAGAGCCTGGGGTACCTTTAGGAACAATCTCTTTGAATAGGGTTGGAGGGGGACCACTAGGAAATGCAATGTTCAGCTTTTCTTTTTTCAGATTTTATTTGGTTGTGCCGAGTCTTAGTTGCAGCCAACAGGATCTTTAGTTGTGGCATGCAAACTCTTAGATCTGGTTCCCTGACCAGGGATCAAACCCGAGCCCCCTGCATCGGGAGTGCGGAGTCCCAGCCGCTGGACCACTAGGGAAATCCCTTCCCCAGGTTCTCCTAGTTCCTTCTCTCCCGCTCACAGGGCAGAGCACTGACTAAGTGAGTTTCGCTGCAGGAATCCAGCCTCCAGCAATGAATGGCCTGCTGCCTGCCTGGAGCTGTTGCCAAAGCTGCTTTTCCCAGCTCTTGCCTGGAGCACATGATAAAGTTCTCTCTAAATCTTTTGTGCCTATCAGTGACTAACCCATTCCCACCCAGAGCTAAACTTGCCACCAGCTCCTTCTCCCCAGGCCCTCTTGCTTCTTCTTCCAACCCCACCCACTTGGCCGGGTCCTTCCAAAGTAACTCAACATCCCCTACCTCCCATCAGGTCATCCCATTTGAGTTACTTTTGATAGCTGGTGGTTACTCTCGCCAATTCCACCTCTTTCCTGACAATCCCTCTTGTCTACTGGGGTCCTGCTCTCACATTATCTTCACCAACATTGAGTGAGTGAGAAAATGGCTTTGTTTATTTTTTCAACTTTATTTTTTTTAACTTTTTATTTTATAGCCCATCAGCAATGTTGTGATAACATCAGCTAAACAGTGGAAGGACTCAGCCATACTCAGTATACATGTATTGAAAATGGCTATTTTCCAGGCCTGAGTCCAGACACAGTGGAGGAAACGAGCATGCTCAGCCTTCAGGGGGCTTCCTCCCCTGGAGGGAGGAATCAGGCACACTGGAGGCTTTCAGCGCCAAGAGGGCATGCGGTAAAAATATGCCCATCCAGGTGGGTGGGTGCTGTGGGAATTTCCAGGGGGCAGCAGGGAAGGCCTGGTGCCCAGGTTTGGGGGCAGAGCAGGGCACAGGAGGAGCATAGCAAAGCCCGACTAGAGAGGAGGAGTGGGTAGGAGACCTCACCCTCACAGGGGAGTCCAGGGGAAGCTGCTGGCCGGGTGGTGCCGGCAGGGGCCCTGTTTATCTGTCAGCTAGGGCATCGGGCCCTGCTCCGGACTCGAGGCTCTCCATTTTTGTGCGGGGCACCTGCCTGGGTCCTCACTGACCTCTGGCTTGACTTGTGGTCACAGGAAGTGGGCTTCCCTCTATCACTGGCACTGCTTCTCCCCACAGGGAAGCTAAGAAGGGGTTGAAACTCAAAGCCAACAGTAACTGCCTTCTTCACTCCGGTTTTCAAGTGTAAACTCACCCTGCCTCTTGCTGCCATACCGCCAATGATCTCCCTGACGACCTCTCTCCGGGATCAGAGGAAGGTGTGTCTTCTATCAGCGGGCACTTCTCTCGGGGCCAGTTGGCCACCCTGCCTGTCCCCCACTGAGTACCTTCTGCTCCATCCCTTATCCGTATTTCCAGGTTCCATTTTCAAGGCCTTTATCTCTCCTGGCATCTTCTTGTAGGCTACACACAAGCATGTTTCTTTCCTCTGCTCCTCTCTTCACAGCCTGCTTCTTGAAAGAAGGGTGTAGGCGCCCCTTTTCTTACTTCCCAGTCACTCTCGGCTGGGTGTGTTGTGATGTTGCCGCCCCCAGCTGCGCTGACGCTGCTGGCAGCGGTCGCCAGTGACATCACAGTGGCTCCTCACCCAGGGCTGCTCCTCCTGTCTCATTTCACCCCTCGACTCCTCCCTCCGGCTGACATGCTCCTCCACACTGCTTTCATCCTCTCTGTCCTACCTCTCTGATCTTTCCTTCTCAGCTGTTTTCACAGGCTCCTCTTCCCCTGAGGGCTGCGTCCTATACCCATTCACTCTTCGAGCGGTAACAGAGCGCCCGCACTGGGTTCCGGATGGAGCTTTCCATGGAGTTCCAGACTCTTCTACACTTTCCATGGACCATCTTGTTCCTTTCATGAGATTAACCTGGTGCTGCTGATTCTTGGATCTCCAAATTGGGTGCAGACTGCTCTCCACCACAGTCTTTACAGAGCCTCTCAGACTTGACCCCATCTCTTGACCCACCTGGATTTCCCACTTCAGAGTTCTTTCTGAAACCTAATTTTCACCTTGTCATTCCCCTGCTTTCATGACCATCGTGGGTTGCCCCCGCCTTGGGAGGACACTCTCAGCTTTGCGTGACTGGCCTCGCCACCTCAGCCACTCTGGCCTGCTTTTTTGAACATACCAAAGCCCGTTTCTACTGAGGGCTCTGGTCAAGTTGTTGTCTCTCCCTGGAATGTTCCTTTCTGTCATACAGTCTTAACTCCAATGTCACCTCACAGAAGCTTTCCTATTTTCTTTATAGGCTTTATCTAATAAGTTTGCTATGGGCCTCCCAACTAACTGCAAGCTCAGTTTACTTTACAAACTTGTTTATAAGCATCTACTATGTTCCAGGTGCTGTTCTAACACTGTGAATGTTAAACTCGAAGTCAGATCCTATAACAGTGACGGTGAGGAGGAATTCTTAACCCTTTTTACAAGTGAGGAAACTGAAACTGGAGCTGTATGGCTTGAGAAAGGTGCCATCTTCACTGCAAGGGTTCTGGCTGGACCCTTGTTGCCTCATAAAGCTTGTGTCTTGTCCACAGCGTTCCCAGTGCCTACAGCAGTGCCTGCTACCTAGCAGATATTTGATATTTTCTACCTGGATAACCAAACACCCATTCCCTTACAAAGGACAAACCCCCACGCACTTGCTGAGTATGGTGGGAGAGGTCCTCCAGGCTAGGACTACGTCGCTAGGCTCAGTCCTTGCCAGCCGCCCTGCTGTGTCTGGAGCACAGCGGGTGTGGGAAGCACCCCTCCTCCACATCTTCTTGGTGAACCTCAAAACCTCAGTAACTTGAAGCATCACCTCCTCCATGACACCTTCCCTGCCTGGACACCCCTCCCCCACAGCAGAATTGGCCCCTCCCACCTTAATGTCCTCACAGTATCCTGTCCTTGCTGTTGTTTAGTCGCTAAGTCCTGTCCAGCTCTTTTTGTGACCCCCACGGACCACAGACCATCAGGCTCCTCTGTTCATGGGATTTTCCAGGCAAGAATACTGGAGTTGGCTGCCATTTCCTTCTCCAGGGGATCTTCCTGACCCAGGGATCAAATCTGTGTCACCTGCATTGCAGATTCTTTCCCGCTGAGCCACTGGGAAGGACCTCTATAGAATCCTATACAGACCTCCTATCTATCCTGCATAGACCTGGTGTCCATCGCGGCACTCATCTTGGTTTACACTTGATGTGCATATAGTTATTATTAGACCCTTTTGTTGTTTCAAAGGGTCTCAGTTTGGAGGCTAATTTATACAGTCACCTGCCCCACCCCAATGAGGTCTCATTCGCACTCACCTTGCAACCCCTGTGCCAAGCACACCGTCTCAAACAGGCAGGAGCTCTCTTGGAGGAAGGAATGAATGAGCAAACATTTGATCTGATGGTGAAAAATGTCATCAATTTGAGGAGCAGCAGGAAAAGCAGCTATGAGAAGACATGGTTTATGGTTCCAATTTCATTACTAAACTAGTTGCATGACCTCAGCCAAACTGCTTAACATCTCTGGGACTCAGATTGCCAGGTTTTTTTAAGTGAGCAGGTTGGGGTAAATGATCTTGGAGCTCCATGCCAACCAACTCTAAGATTCTGTAATTCACACTAATATCCCCATTAAATAGAGGAGGACCTAGTAGGCACCGTACAGAAAAAGTTAACGAGACACTGAGAAACGCAGCAAGAAGTCCTGGAAGAGAGAGGGGTACTCCCACCTCCCCTGGGGCTCTGTGGGAATCCTCTTTACTTCTCCCTTCCCAAACTCTGCCATGCTGCTGCTTGTCTATGAGGGTTGGCATTTTCAAACTGGTCTTTTTTTTCTCTTCTCTAAATAGGTAGCTCCTTGAGGGCAGGGTCCAAGTCCTATACTTTAAATCTTGAAGATCCAGCCAGCAGTCAGAAATTGGCATGCATTTTGTGGTTGATGAGGATAATGGTCATACAGATAGAGTTCCAGTCAAGTGTGAGACAGACGTTTGCAGACTTCATCAGAAATACATCAGAGAATGAAGAGAAAGCACTGGAAATTAATAGTATATTGTTTTACTATCAATAGCTTTCAGAATTACAGGCCTGTGTATTAAGGAGCAACTTAAATGCATATAGAAATGAATATGGTCCCTTCAAGAGGAATAATGTGAATTCAGAGTAAGCAAGCTTCTGCCAAGTCTATATTTATCTTCCAGCAATCCAGAATTGAGAATTCAATTTGCCCACTTTTCTGAATTTATTGACTATAATGCATTAAATATAGGAAATAGTAAATAAGCACTAAATACTGAAATGAAATAGAAAAGTTTTAAAAATGTTAACATTTATACAAAACATAAGCCTTCATCAGTATAAAATATGCATTAAAAACATAGATGTGTAAACCTTTTTTTTTGGCTGTATCTCTCAGTATGTGGGATCTTAGTTCCCCCATAAGGGACTGAACTCACATCCCCTGTAGTGGAAGCTCAGAGTCTTAACCAGTGGACAACCAAGGAATTTCCAATAGGTGTGTAAATCTTGTAAGCACTTTCAATAATAAAGGACTAAGGTATAGAACTTCTATCTCTCACATTCCTTGTACCAGTAAAATTACAGAAGAATTGAAAGTTAACTAAGGATATGTAGTTTACCAATAAGATAACTAGATCAACAATAGAAGCAGATCTAGTAATTATGACCAAATCAAAACATGAACTGCAAGCTGTGGCAAATCAAGTATATTTGCAAAAAAACATAACATGGAAATCTCACCTTAACTGCAGTCAATATTTTCTTGCAGTCCCCCCCAGAGGGTGCAAAAATAGATTTAGCCAGGAAGAAAAAGAAGACTGAATACATTTCAGAGTTTAAATATTTAGCAGGCATTCGGGGAAAAAAGGAGACCGTCATTTTAAAGTTAAACACACCAAAGATAATGAGCAGTAGTATAATTAAAGAGGCATTTTGAAAAAAAGTTGGACGGTGATATTAACTTTATAATGTCATATCAAAAGCTGTGCTCTGATATGGCCTCTACAGATGACACCCAGAAACTGCAGACTGCAGAGATAGGTGGAGCAGAAAAACTAGATCACAAGAGAAGCTAGAACAGAGGGAAGTATTTGGCCTAAAATTTGCAAACTTACCTCATGGTATGGTTTGCAGTAGTAAGGACTTGAGTTTCCATCACCTCTACTCTAGCTGAAGTGACAGCTATAGGAATAGTTAACCTGAAATAATCACTATTATATCAAACCTTTGCTGCAGAACACATGTGCCTTTCTTACTCTGTCAAAATCAAACTTCTCCACAAGCATTCAAAACCCTCCAGGCTTCATGCTTCTCTGTCCCTCAAAGCATCATTGAGCTTCATTGTTCAATAAACACCAATGAGTGAGTGAGGGCCAACTCTGCCTGGCACTGTTCTAGGCACGCAGCAGGCATCAGCAAACATGAACAAAAGGAACAAAACTTCCTGTCCCATAGGGCGTACAGTCAAATGGAATTCTATATCCAGTTTTTCTAGCCTACATTATTTTCCAGCAATTCATTGCCATGACCACTGTTATCTTAGTATGTCACATCTTCCTGGCATCTCTTTCACGATGCAAAGTCTTCAAGAGTAAAAGCCACGCTTTTTAATTTTTCAAATCTCCTTTTTCCATCCAAGCACTTAATTCAGTGTTAAGCACAAGGTACTTGGTAACAAAACAAATCTTTCTTATAGGAAAATAAATAAAAATTAGAGAACCAGCAATCCTTTCTAAATATATTGTCTTCCAGCTTCCATAGGAAGTTGTCGATTAGTCCATTTGACTCCACAATAATCCTAGGAGGAAACAGAGCAAGGAGTCATGATCTCTGTTTTATAAAAGAAAGAAGTTTCTCATAGGTTAAGGGACTGGACTAATAACACACAGCTAGTAAGGTCCCTCACAAAACAGCTGAAAGAGTACCAGACTCTGAAGTTGACAAAAGGCAGTGAATGCCTTGAAGATGTGCAAAGAGTAGACCCTCTGGGAGGATCCAGGAACAGGACCAAGTGTTTAGGCAACTAGCCCTTTGGGGATGTGGCTCACCCTGCAGCTATCAGCCATCACCAGCTGAGCCAGCAAATAAGCACAGGGTTGCAAACAGACCCTGGAACCCTGGCTGACACAAACCTCCCCCCTACTAAACATAGGTGTCATGAGGCATAGGGCTCAGCCTCTTTCAGCCCCACTCTCAGGAAGAGCAGGAAGTCTCTCCCTTTCAGATGTGTAAGTGAGGGTGGCCTGGCCCCCAGGCAAAGCTAAGACTGCTAAAAGAGCAGGTGGATCCCAGATGCTGCTGCAGCTGCCCCCCAGCCAAAGTCAACCCCACCATTCAGGAGAGGTGGGTCTGCACAAAGGCAGGCCAAATGCCTGGGGCAAATGGCAGCAAGGAGAGATTGGGCCAGGGAGGGCTTTGGTCCCATAGCCCCCAAGGAAAGGGTCGACCATGTTCCATGAAACTTAAAAGAATCTCATGTTATCAATGTTCAATGATACAAAAATTCGCAGGGCATTTCTGCCTTCCTTTCTTTTCTTGATCAAGTTAGATTTTACTTTCAGACTCAAAAGAAAACTTTCTATCCCTTAAGACCCATAATCACCTAACACCTAATTTTTATCCTTCCTAAGTAGAGTTGGACTATAAAGAAAGATGAGCACTGAAGAACTGATGCTTTTGTTGGAGAAGACTCTTGAGGGTCCCTTGGACTGCAAGGAGATCCAACCAGTCCATCCTAAAGGAAATCAGTTCTGACTGTTCATTGGAAGGACTGATGCTGAAGCTGAAACTCCAATACTTTGGCCACCTCATGCGAAGAGCTGACTCACTGGAAAAGACCCTGATGCTGGGAAAGACTGAAGGTGAGAGGAGAAGGGGATGACAGAGGATGAGATGGTTGGATGGCATCACCGACTCGATGGACATGAGTTTGAGTAAGCTCCAGGAGTTGGTGATGGACGGGGAGGCCTGGCATACTGCGATTCATGGGGTCAGACACAACTAAGCGACTGAACTGAACTGAACTGAAGCTTGACACAGTAAGTATGTGATACTAATTTTGGAAGGTCTTTTGAGGGATACAGATGTGGCCTGCCTTCAAGAAACTTACAGTCCAGTAGAGGGGGTGGAGGAAGATGTTCAGGAAGTGATTGTTAAAAAACCAGAGAGCACACATGATTAGGGCACACCAAAAATGGGTAGAGGGAAATGGGCAAGTAAGGTCTACTTTGATGATGAGAGAGTAGATGGCATGGGCATGCCTGGAGAGAGGAATGAACACAGCAGGTGATTAGTGGAAGAATGATGGAGAGAAAGAAGAAAAGAACGAGACTTTAGGATGTTTGAATGATGATCAGGGCGAGGCAGAGTCAGGGATAATAGAAAAATAGAGATCAGAGTCAGGGGTTGAAGAAGAGAGACTAGGATCCAGGAAAGGAAAGAGGAAAAGCTATGAATAAGTCCTTACACAATACGTAAATCTGCTTAAACACTGAAGCCATCTCTCCTTAAAACTGGAGGTCAGAAGCATAGTAAATGCTCATAATCTGTGGCTATTATGTGCCAGACATTGGGCTTTAAGACACTATTCATTTCATCCTGAGTGTTAGGTATTTTCCCCACTATATAGAAGAAAAACCCAGGCTTTGAGGTGTTCAATAGGACCAAGTAGCTGGTAGCCCAAAGAGCAGACCTTCAGTCTCTGATGCCAAAGGTTTAAAATTACTGGCTACCTCCTATGGGCTTATCAGGTGGCTCAGTGATAAAGACTCTGCCTGTCAATGCAGGATACTTGAGTTTGATCCCTGGGTTAGGAAGATCCCCTGGAGGAGAAAATAGCAACCCAGTCCAGTATTCTTGCCTGGAGAGCCCCACGGACAGAGGAGCCTAGCGGGCTACAGTCCATAGACATGACTGAGAACACATGCATGCT